CTGAAGAAAAAGACAACACCATGGAAGATGAACATGTACGCGGCATTAAGAGCTGCAAAGCAAAAGCTAAGAGATTACTATGAGAAGACTTATCGTGATCATGGATTTCTCTACGGCACCGGAACTTTGCTCGCCCCTCAGTATAAACTTTGCGCCTTTGACGACACTGAGTACTCGAAATGTCACAACGAAACTTCAAAGCGCTACTGTGAATACCTGAGAACCTCCTTTGTGCAATATCAACAGCAGGTCCCTGAGATATCATTCCGCACGATTCGGACTGCTCTACCTCAGCAGACGTCAGAGTTGGACCGGCTCCTTATTCCAGCGAGCCATTCGGAGTCGAGTGCGAAGGATGATCTTGATGAGGTAGATCAATATCTAAGGGAAGGTAAGAACGCCTAGGAAGGTTGGTGCATTTCGATTTCTGACTTGCCATAGGAAGCAGCTACGGCGTGGAATAGTTAGCTTTCTTCCCTTAGAAGAGTGTCTAATGCTAATAAAGGTACTTGCCGACAGCTACAGCAGCGTCCTATATAACAGAAAAATGAGCGTGTTACATAGCAACAATAGATAGGATCAATCGTACCGCAGCATTTCCTCCCTCCTACAGAATCCTCTGTCCGGCAGCGGCGGCCAGAGGTTAGGTGCATATTACTATCCCATTCGTGCTATAGACGACACTTTCCTACTAGCAAATAGGAGGAAGCTCGGGTTCGGTCTAGAATAGACAGCCTTCGAGTTAAGAGGCATTGTCACGCCTACGAGTGGTACAGAGATCGGGTCTAGATAAACAAACAGTCCAGCCTTGGCCCTGTAGTCGTAATGCGGGCAACCAGATCGCGGAATAAGCAAGAGAGGACGAAAAGAGGGGTGTGATTGTTCTGACTAGAAAAAAGGGACACCATACGGAGTAGAGTGGGAGGACGTGCGTGTATCAAGGAGAGTCGGGAAGTCAAGTCTAGAGTGAAGAGTCATAGGGACAGGTGATAAGAAAGTGGGTGCTACGATGATTAGTACTTTTGCGAATCGTAAATTGGATAAAGGACCTTCCACTTCTGGCGAAGTTGACGTTACGGTCGACCCCACCACGATTGTTTGTTAGTTACTTGGTACGTAGGCCTAATCTTATTTAATTTTGTTGTGGACATTTCGTTTGTTCTTCCAGTTAGGGGTGTTCCCGATACGATATCGGCAGGATTTCTCCATATCGGGTATCGTATCGGCTACTACAAATAGCTTCAAAAAATTATCGGTTATCGTATCGGCTCACAAAATTGTCTACCGATAATTAACGGCCGATAATATCGGTTTTCAGCCGATATTATCGGTAGTATACCGATATTACTTGTATAATTAATAGGTACTACCATGAAAATTTTTCTAAAATCCTGCTGCCTTCCAGGTTCCAACTACACACCCGCTACCCCCCTACTTCCAACTTCCAACTTCCAAGCATCCTGATTACTCTCATCATTATGGCATACAAAGGCAATGAGGACCTGCAAATGACTACACGAAGGCAGGCACGAGTTGACTATGAATTGCTTAATGGTGGCCCTGATTCCCCTGAAGGACTTCTACCATCAGACCAAATCACTGAGTCTGATATATCTCAGTTTTTTTCACAATCGCCATGGCAATTCAATTCTCCCTCTACCGATCAAGAATCTCTAGCCTTCTCAGAGATTTCACCTCATGAATCTGCCTCACAAACCTTTACCCGGAAGATCAAGAAACCTCGCCCAGCACCGACTACCGATTGGATTTGGGATTACTTCTCTACAACTGAGGTATCCCGTGAGTGGAAAGTCCTCCGTACAGGGAAACCAAGGACTGTCGACATGGATATCCAATGTACAGTCATCGATGAAAAAACTGGCCTACAATGTAGTTGGAAAACCTCGGAATCACAAAGGCAGTCATCAACCTCGAATATGCAGCGTCATCTTGAGAGAAAACACTCAGTTCTTCCACCTCAAAGTTCAAATTCAAAGCAAAAAATCCAAGATATCCGCCAAGTCTTCAAAAAACAAGGGAACCTCTCAATCCAAGAGCATCTTGAACGCAACATCCTTCGATGGGTTATTCAAGACAAGCAAGCTTTTCTAGTCATTGAATCTCAGGCTTTTCAGCAAATCTTTGAAGATATTCCAGGAATCACTCTACCATTCACATCTCGATCAACTGTGAGTCGGCGATTACAAGAGCAATTCAAAACCCAACGATCAATGTTGAAGGAGGACTTAGCTACTACATGCAAAACAATTGCATTATCTCTTGATATATGGACAAGTCAGAATCACTATCCTATCCTTGGTATCATTGGCCACTGGCTTACAGAGGGTTTTCACTATCGTGAAGAGACTCTAGAGTTCTGTGAAATCTTTGGACCTCATACAGGGGCGAATATTGCTACTGTGGTTCACAAGGCCTTAGTGGAATTGGATCTCACGTCAAAGTTGACGACAATTACTGGGGATAATGCCTCAAATGTTCAAGAGATGGTTTCTGAGTTATGGTATCTTTTGGAACAGAATCAGAATTTTTTACAACCAATTCGATTTTCTGGACCTAATAGCTATGTTCGCTGTCTGGCTCATATCTTGAACCTCATTGTGAAAGATATTCTTCGTTCCTTGAAAGCTGGAAGTGTTTCAGAGGCCAATTCGATCTGTGATAATCTACAATCCAGGAATTCCCAATCGAGCTCATCATCAACCTCTCCATCGATCTCATCTCAATCAGCATTAGCTAAACTCCGGATTCTTGCTATTTGGATTTCTCGCAGTCCTCAACGGAGGCAAGACTGGAAGTCAATCTGTGATGAGATGAAGCTCGATGATAAATTCATCGAGTATGATGTAGAAACACGGTGGAATTCTACCTTTCGAATGCTTAATGATGGGATACAAGCTCGACCTCAGATTAATCGACTCTGTGCTGTACAGGGTGAAATTCCTCCCTTTACCAATGCAGAATGGGAACGACTTAGTCAGATTCATAAAGCTCTCAAAACCTTTAATGACTTGACGCACTTGGTATCTATATCAAGGCCACAAATCAGTCTCACTGTCCCAGTTTACTATAAGCTTCATGATCTTTTACGGGATGATGCCTTAGTGGGATATGATGATGATATTGCTAATGCAATAAGGGCAGGCATGAAGAAGTACCAAAAGTACTATGACTTCATGGATAACTCTGAAGCTTATTATACGGCATTAATGCTTGATCCTCAGCTCAAAGGTGATCTCATACTTCATGAGATGGTAGATCAAGAGGCTGCCCAATTGATTATATGGGAGACTCGTCGGATGCTCCATAAGAGATATCCACCACTTCCACAATCAATTCCATCCTCGCTCCCACAGACAAATTTAGACTCGAATCCACAGTCAATTCTAGACTTGACTCAGGAAGATTCTCTCAATCGCAAAACAATGCGGTTATGGATGCTGAAAAAGCTACAGCCTCAGGAATATCAATTTGTTTCTGATATTGATCAGTACTTTGATAGTCCTCGGGTTACTATCACAGGTGCAGAGGATCCAGACTGGCTCTGCAATTGGTGGCGTACCCATAAGGGCGAATACCCTCAAATGGCAGAGGCTGCAAGGGAATTTCTTGCGATCCCAGCTTCAGAGGTATCAGTTGAGAGATTATTTAGTGGAGGGAGAGATCTTTTGGGAGTTCGAAGGCATAGTTTAGGGGCAGATACTATGAGGATGTTGATGCTGATGAAAGATATTGTTTAGTTAACTAGTTGAATTTATTGCTTAGTTTGGTTAGTTCGTTGAATGAATTTATTAATTGATTAGTTACAGTTGGTTATTGCAGTAGCTAGGAGCAGAGTAGGATTAAGAATCTAAGATTGTTGGACTATTCAAGAGAGGCAATACATGCATGGATGATATATATATATATATACATGTATGCATGCAGTAACTAGTTATAAACAAGCCTAATTAGGCTAGTTTACAGGTCTACCGATATTATCGGCGCAGGTTTTTAGTAGCCGATAAAAAACCGATAAATTATCGGCTACTACTAACAACTTCTCAAAGTTATCGGTTTTTTTATCGGCTACTAAAAACCTATACCGATAATTAACGGCCGATAATATCGGTACAGGTTTGTATCGGAATTATCGGTAAAAACCGATATCGGGAACAGCCCTATCCTTCACCTCCTATGCTGACTTTTTCTTAGGTGTGTTGTTTTGATCACAACTCTCTGGTACTAGTTTCTACCGGTTGACACATGTCCTCCTTGGATTCAAATGACAGTAGGAAAGAAAAAGAAGAAGGGCCGCCTAGGAGAATCAAACTTGTTATTGAATATAAATTCGCTGGAGGCCACCCTACCCCACTACTAACTCACCAGCGAGTGGCTTATGCTCAATGGTGAGCAGCCGGATAAGCAACCCCTCCAGGCTCTAGTAATCGTTGCACGAAGCCCCAGTTGAGCTATGTTAGAACACCATTGGATGACATTGTTTCTCCCTGAAACGCTCGTTTCTTGGCATGTGCACAAGACCAGAAAGGATGATAATCAGTGTACACCATATCGGATGTTGGATGGAGTAACCTTCCATCTAATGTATAATGAGCCAAGCAAGGTGGGAAAAACACACACTATTCATTTTGTGAGACATAGCCCTATTCTCACATCGCTTTTTCCACGCTGTTACATCTATACTTTGCGGGATGGATGGGGTATGACTGAAACGCGAACACTGATTAAAGAATTTTTTTCTAAGCTGAGTTTTAAAGGGAGCCGGGTGCATACGCTGGTGAAATGGATACCTTGGGTAGGTAATAATCCTCTGGCCATTTCTTTACTACCTACTACCTGGGTACGTGAGCGAGGCTGTCGACGGCGGCAGGCGCAGTAAGGCCGACACTTAAAGCCGAAAGCAAATCCACATCCACATTCCACGATACGTCACCGGCGCCAGGCTTGATGAATCACTGGTCCAATCTCCTTGCGTTACAAAGTCAAGCCCCCATGTGAGTATACAATGCCCAGGAGAGTGGACTGTGACAATACTGCCTTCGAATCCTCAGCGTTGCATCGCGAACCGCTTCTGCCACCGCACGATTTTGATTAGTGGCAGTGGCACGCCTCGCAATCAACGCCTCGTAGAAATAAGCGGCCATGTGGACACACACCTCATCGTCAGCCGGCCATAAAGAGCTAATGACATGCGAGAAGCCCGCGATCAAGAAGCCGCTGGTGATATGTAGCGCTTCGTCCTGCAGGTCCTTATCACGGATCTCAGCTGTAGAGCACGCGGAAAGATAGGCAATCCATCCACGGGACATGGTTTGGCAGTCAAGAAGCTTAGAAACTGTCAGTTTGTCGACGACGGGACCTGAGTCGCTGTGTTTCTGCAGGAGGAGATGACTGTGAGCAGGGTCGCCGGGATCGGAGTACCCATGGCAGGCGAAATGCACGAGCTCGTGACTTTGAAGCTGAGCGAGGACGTCGTCGGTAGAGGGAGTGGTAAGTTCCTTCACATGCATGTCCTGATCGACCGTGTTGAGAATCGCTTGGGCTTCGCGACGGACCCCGTGTAATGCACCATGACTCGGAGTATCGGGCATCGTTGCGATCAGGAGCGAGTGTTTCTCCTTCGGCTGGCAGGCTATCTTTGATGCCCTTTCCCGGGCATTACGAAGGGCCTTGACCGTCGGCGTGTAGGAGGATATCACACGATCAAGGCAGTTCTCGTTCTCGTCGATGGTCCCGTTGCTGTAATCGCCGGCGGCATGGAACGGAAGCCCACTCGCAGCTCCCACTCCCATCCACCAGACTCGACTTTTCTCCTCTCCAATGGAGATACTCCGGTGCGAAGCAAGCATCTCAAGGACTGGCTTGACGCAGCTATACCACAGCCATGACAGCAATTCTTTGTTGTGCGCCTCGGGCGGCAAGTCACTCTCCAGATCTCTGTCGTCTCGTTCCAATGCGCACCGCGCCAGATGCTGACGAAATTGTGGGGCAGCGTGACTGATCATACTGTCCAGCCGCAGATGCCCAATATCAGATGGGGTGAGGAGCAATGCGTGGGCTGTGAGACAAGTTGCATTAACAATAATGATCGGCCCTTCGCGGGAAATTTCAGCCATCTCTGGGGATCTCAGGGGCCGAAGGAAGGCCTCAAAGCCTGCTTTCTCGCGGATTCGATCTTCACATTGCTGCAGACGCTGAAATGCAGCTCGACGATAATTCACTGGCTGTTGTTCCCCGCTCTCCGGGTCATTGGACTCGATGGAACGCAAAGCTTCATGACGAAGCCTGTCATATTCTTGGGCTAGATCGGGGTGCGCCTGCTCTAGGCCTGATAAATTTCCTTGAATGTCTATTAGGTCTCCAATGAGTATGCCCCGGCCTAGCTCAATCTTTTCAAGTGCTTCGTTAGGAAAGCCCAGGCTAAGGAATGCAGCGCACGCATTGCTAGCGAGGCCGGAGATGCTCCGGATATTGTAAATCTTGTCATCATGTCTCAGGTCCCGGCTGCCGATCAGCGACATGAGTGGGAATATTAACTCTGCAACTAGACAGGTCTTTTCCCAATCTGCCGCGTGGTTCGCCGTATGTACAAGGATGCCAGCACTTTTAACACGCTCTCTGGGCGAGGCCTGATCAGATAAGCAGGATTGCATGAGACATCGCATTCCACGGCCGTAGGTAGCATTGTCCCGTGTCCAAGAAGCTTTCTCGATCAATAACTCTCCCAAGATACCAAGTGTGTGGTCCTTCTGCTGGCCAGTCTCCTCGGTGATGTCCAATGAGTTCTCCATTGACTCGATCGCCTTTTCAAGATCAGTAAGCTCTTTGGTACGGTGATAAAGACTTTGATATTGTAGACCGAGCATTCTCAGGATATTCCTTTTCGAAAAAGGACTTATGCAGTCGACGGAGCCAGCTCGTATGCTTTCAAGCTCCTCAACGGAGGCTCGCAGGGCTTGCACTCGGTCAGCCCCATTTGGCAGGTCACTCAGCCACAAAGCCCGTTGTATGACGCAGAAGATTTGAAAGGAGCTGCCTGGCACAGCGACATCTGCCGCCTTCTTCATCAGCTCCAATGCTCTAGTTCGATCGGCATGGCAGCCATGACGAGTCCATCTGTGTAACAGGTGATTAGCCAGCTCCAGGCCGTCCACTGCGCCCACCATCGGTGCTTTATTGTCGAGCACATGGGAGAGACGCAATTCGGCCCTGGAGATTGCAAGATCCAGGTCCCTGCTGCTCCCTGTCTGTGTGTATCGATGAAGGTATTGCCGAGAAAGAGTAGCAAGGAGCTCCTGATATGTCCTCCCTCCGCTAGGAGTGCGATTAAGAGCATGCTCCGTAATCTCAAGCGCCGAGTCGAATCGTGCCCCTATGGCCAAGTCGTCAATACCATGCGTTCTCAAATGCTCCTGCCGACCTGAGATCACGGCTCTTTCGGGGGAGTGGTCTGGCTTGGTGTGATAGAGCTGTTCCATGATATCCGAGGATTTCCGAAGGTCATCTGCATTCCCTGTAAGTCTATGACGCCACGCATAGACCCCAGCAAACAAGTTCAATGTCTCGAGCCGCTCCGGCCACTCATTAGTGATTGCCATGGCCGTCTCAAGCTCGGTGATTGCGAGATCAAGATCTGCGATACGATCGGTCATGGTATGTCGCAGAAGCAGCGCCAAAACAAGTTGTGCTCGGTATTGAGGATTTCCAGGCTCAATGAGAGTGGCCAGCTGGAGGTATGTGAGCGCTTTCCCTAGAACTTGAGGAGAGGGGCTCGTGGCGCAGCCAATCATGCATATCACTCCGATAGCGTAAAGAATTTGGGCTCGGATAGGATCGTTGTAGGGAATTTCAAGCAGCGCCCACTCAAGAATAGGAAGCCACTCGGAGCTATCTGATACAGGTGGTTTGTACTGAGTTCTGGACCCATCTTCAACGGTGCCTTCCTTTATTGAATACTTTCGATTTGGCGATGTGTGCTCGGCCTCTTGGGTAGTTATCAATGAGGAATCAGCAGCATGTGAGCCATGAGAGAGCTCAAGAACTGCCTGCACATCACCTTGTGTCCGGTCAATTTCGTCATGCTCGGTTGCGATACCAGAGGCTGAACCCATGTCGGCCTGTCAAATACGACGGGTCACTCAGGTCAGCTCATGTGGGTGCATGGAGGTATAACACACCAAAATAAGGAATATTCATGCAGATGCAGGACTTACTTCGCTAACATTTGCCGAAGTTGCTATCATTATTCGAGCTTCTTGGACGCAGTTGATCCATCCGGGGAACTGTCAACTCATTAGCATCTCTTTTGATGAAGTCAGTTGGCCTAAGTGCCATGCCTGTGCCCGTGCCCAGATGCACAATCGATCTCCTTCCTCGAGGAGATCGAGAAAGTGGTCTGCGGTTTCATCGTCACTGCCGCGTCTCCAGGTCAGGGCGTGGTGCTGCCAGTGTCGCCGAATAGCATTGGCGATGATTGTCATGCTAACTTGGGAGCTCGACTGAGTGGTTCGGCTGGGGATGTCCTTGAAATATAGTCCTTGATCCTGGATCAACTCTCCAAATTCCTCCGGGGTCGGTCGAACATGGGCCGGATCCGACAGATCGTGGAACTCAGCGGTAGTTTGTTCCGCCAACGAGCCCAGAATAGACACTTCAAACCAGGACCATAATCCATCATGAGGATTGCCCCATCCCTGGTCGCGACTGATGATTTCGAACTGAATTGTCGAGACATTTTTGGGCAGTGGGCGAGAGACGAGGTACAGGGCGGTCGATTGATGAGGGGCGGAAGGGTTAGATGGGGGGACGCACACCTCTTGTTGCCGAGCCCCCCATAACTGGAGATTTCCCCCTCCGCGTGGAATGCTCATTGTTTTCCTCGAAGATTGTTTTCTTCGAAACTTCGATGGTCGAGGTGGGGGATGTCGTCAAGGCTCCTGCCACTTCGTTGGGACATGGAGGTAGCCCAGGCGAGTTTTGTGGGCCAGCCCTTCTCACGCGACATCCATATGCGCGGCAGAAGGGTTGATCCTGCGTGCAGGGGACCCGAATGGGCAACGGTAAGGCGCCCAACCAGGGGCGAAATGCGCGCCGGGGTCGCCGGAGCACCGCTAGCACTGCCACGTCATGTTACCCCGCGCATGTTTGCTGTTCAGGACTGTCGGCAGGCGACGGAGGGAGTTCATCACCACGTTGCTTGTCTCATTGATTCACCGTACTTGAGCAGAAGGCCTGCCACTTCTAGTTCCGGCGGCACGATGGCACAGACAAAGAGAGCCCTGGTAATTACCAGTCCGTGGGGAGACCTTCGAGGCACTGAGAACGATGGACGCTGTATGCAATCGTTGCTGGCCCGGTACGGCTTTCAGGTCTTGTCCTGTCACGGTGCCCAAGCAACACGAAAAGGCATCCTAGAGGCATGGCAGCAGCTCATCTCGTCGACCTCCTCCGGGGACTCTGTTGCCATCTATTACTCGGGACATGGGGGCTTCGTGGAATGTGCAGCCAACGAGGACAATGGAAAGGAATGGCGTTATCAGTTTCTTGTTCCCGTGGACTTCGAGGATCCCAGCTCAGGTGGCTTTAATGGGGTCCTTGACGTAGAACTGGCGCAGCTGCTTCGTGCAACTACCGCGCGAACCCGCAATGTCACCGTAATTCTCGACTGCTGTTACTCGGGACGAATGGTTCGAGCACCAGGATACGGGGACGCGGCAAGGCCCAAACAGGTCCCCTCCGTACACTATGAGGATGTTGCCGACTTTCTCACGTCTTACGCTGAGAGTGTCTCGAAGGATTCCAATCATATGAAGTGGGATGAAAACCCGGATGCGGTTCGTGTAGTAGCGGCAGCTCCTTCCGAAACAGCCTGGGAGGTTCGGGGCAAGGATGGACGGTGGATGGGGTCTTTTACCTCGGCACTCGTTCAGGTTATGAACGAGGCACACAATCGTCGGCTTCCATGGCGAACAAGCATCTTGCGAGTTCAGGACTTGGTCCAGACACAGTTCCCCTCTCAGCATCCACTGGTGGAGGGCCCCCATGCTCGCCTTCATTTCTCCCTTGACGAGGCCGTTTCAGACGCCATTCACCTCAAAATCGAAAATGGCCAACCCGTGCTCCAGGCTGGGCGTGTTGCGCATGTCTCAGAAGGGGACATGTATGCCGTGACGTGCCTCGATACCGAAATTTTCTCAAAGGAAGATCAGATAGCTGTGTGTGAAATTATCAATGTGCATCCTTTCCAAGCTGAAGGGAGACTGTATTACACGACTTCCAACCCGATACAAGAAGTTCCATCAGAAGGAGCTTTAGCCTTTTTGCAACAGAGTGCCCATTACCGGTGGCCGATCTCAGCGCCTCCGTCGGTGTTGCATCTACTCAGCCCCAAAGTTCAACAATCTCGCTTCATTAGGTTTCTGGGCGAAAATGAACTGGGCAGTCCCCTGATCTCGGTATATCACCAGGAGAGTTTCATCGGCATCCAGTCTCAGGATGGAATGCAGCTGACGACTCGTTATTTTAATCCAGAGAGCCTCACACACGCAGACCATGTATGCCAAGCAGTCGTAGCAGATGCAGATCGTCTGGCTTGTGCTCAAAATCTCCTCGGCCTCCGCAACGGCAACGCTGATGAACCATTCAGCCATCAGGTAGATGTCAAAGTCGGGCTAGTCGAGAATCATCAGCCGACAAAGACCTTGACTGGATCAGGGTGTGATCATCTATGCGAGGACCAGAGAATCTACATATCCCTTCGAAACGACGGTACGACTACTGCCTATGTGAGCATCCTGCACATCAATGTCCAGGGCAAGATATCTCTGATATCAAAGTCCAGTCCCTTGGGAATTGAACTTCATGCTCAACGTTCACACTGGCTTCGAAAAACAAGTTTTGGTGTTCTTGAAGGCCTCCGAGTCTCTTGGCCGGCTGATTTGCCCCGAACCCGTCCTATTGACGAGCATCTACTACTCTTTATCACCACTTCCCCAGTAGACTTGCGTGCAATCTCTGATCCCCACGTCACCCCTCAACGCACAGCTGTCTCGAAACTGGAGCGCACAATGTATCAACTGTGTCGAGGGGAACGGAGAGATCTGATGGATGACGACGAGCTGGGTCAAACTGCCTACGACATTGTCCATATTCCCCTTACTCTGTTTGCACGGGAGCAGCCCGCGGCTCCACATTCTCTCCGCCGGACAGGACTGCAAGAACCGCAACGCAATTGCAATCAATTGTCTGATGATAAATATGAACTTGTTATTCCCTCGATGCTCAGTGAAGCACAGGACCTTCCAGAATTACCCCCACACCTTCTTACAGAGCCAAAGGTGAGTTGCCCTTGTTCACCTTACTCACCGGCTTCTCCCTTGTCATCATGGAATTTTCGTTTAACGTGCAAACCACCAGGGGTACTTCAACCAGGCGCTTCGGCGGGTCAAGGGGGTTCCCGCTTGTGTATGGGTAGTCAACGAGCACACTGAAGCCATAACCGTCGTGGTCTCGCAATACCGACCATCCCGCCTATGGACCGAAGCCAGTCTCAACGTCTCCACCACGGGTGCCGGTTTTGACCTATCCACTACGGTAAGTGCTCCTATCGTAACATCAATTCCCGCCAAGTGTGTCAAAATCTCACTGATCTTTCCATAAACCGAACAGACATTCACGCCTCCTGTAACGCGAAAGACGCTCCCTGCTGCAACAGCGGACCTGAAGCCATCGACGGCCGCTTTCCCGCTCTGGACTCGGCGCGACGGGTTTGGGGTGATCACCGTGTTTGTGAGTGCGGCGCAAACGCTGTATATCGAAAATGATCGTATTCCAATGGGGGCGACAGCTTACTTCCGGAATGAGCCCGATTTGCACATTGTGGAGTATAAGGCTCGGTAGAGGGTCGACTCGGCAGTAGACCTCTGCATAGCCCACAAAGCCCATAGCCCAACCCAACCCAACCCACAAATGGGCTGGATTTTGGGCTATGTCTTCGGGCCCAGAGTGAAAGCTCACAGGGCCCATAATAGGCCCCTATTATGCACCAAGCAATACAAACATGCCAGCTGCATAAGTAATGCATTTTTCCCTGGTTTTTTTGGGTATTCAAATTACTACTCGTATATTATTGGCTACATCATGCATATTAAGTGGGTTTAGCCCATCCAAAGCCCATTTCCCGGTCTTTTTCTCAATATTGTCTTTCAAAATATTTCACCCTGTTGAAATTGATGCCGCTCATGTGGCAGTAATTCAATTCCCAGCTATAATTAATTACTACCCCAATTTCTGACCCCAATTCCGCGCTGGAAGCGCCCGGCTCAGAGAGCCTTGGCAACGGCCGATCTGCCTCATTTCCTACCTTCTGCATGTATGAATCTATGCATGTTTGCTTCTATCCTCGCGCCATCAGCACTATCGAGGATGGTAGCAAGGAGAATTTGAATTTAAACCAGCGGCTTCATGCGATGCTACGTGGACAGAGAGAATCATAGAATCATATGGAATCTCCCATACTAAGTCTGATCCTCCATGTCCGGCATAAATACAGCCTGTTTCGCTGTATTAGATATTAGATAGGCAGACAAATTGATATTTTTCTTACTATCCCTTAGGTACTATTCGATTCAAGAATCTAGTTCATTCAATTGCTTCATGCGACCCTGTACTAAGCTTGCTTATTACATTCAACAGGCTCAGGATATATTTTTAAACCTCTACTACCTCGAGATCAGATATAATATCACTTATCTATAAAATCAGAAGTAAAGAAGGAGAGATAGGCTATCTATTAGTATAAAATCAAATTATATAAACCTATAAAATATGATTTTGACACTTAGTTTTATACGTTAACAGAAAGATATACTACCTATTTCAATCCATATAGGTAATAATTATATCTCTTTATTCCTTTAGTCAAAAAGAAAATATATATGAAAAAAAAAGAGAGAGGGTAAAGCCTTGAAAGCGAGAAACAAGTAAACTCTAATCATCCCAGAATGAATTACATTCGAATTATCAAGCAACTGCATGTATTTGGCGGACCCATGGTTCACTTTTGTGCTAGGTGGTAAATAAGATAAGGAATGGCTGCCTGACCTAGAACTCGTCACATGATGCATCTACGTCCATTCCGTCCTTCCATTCCGCTCACCTATATAAATCTCAGCTTGTGACCACAATAGTCGGCTGTTACGCCTACATTTCCATTCTCGAAATAATTTTTATTTCATTGTTGGATATGCGACGCTTTGAGAGGATACAAGATGTCGTCGAATCGGTTGAGGCCCGAATCGTGGGCGCTAGGCGACCACCACCTTAGACATTTGTATGTCCGCATTCACCCCTTTTTTTTAATTCGTTAGGAAATCCCCTCTTGCCGCCCTAATATTCAGTCCCTTCAGCCCATTCACCTGAATGCCCTGAACACCACTATACTACACCTGAATTTCCTGCACGCCCCTGAACCGCTGACGTGTCCTTCCCCTCCCATGCTGATACTTTCTCACAGGCATGTTGTTCTGATCACAACTCTCTGGTATTAATGTCTACTAGTTGACACATATCTTCCTCGAATTCAAATGACAGTAGGAAAGAAAAAGAAGAATGGCCGCCTAGGAGACTCAAACTTGTTATTGAATATAAATTCGCTGGAGGCCACCCATCCCACTACTAACTCACCGGCGAGTGGCTTAGGTCAGTGGTGAGCAGCCAGATGAGCAACCCCTCCAGGCTCTAGTAATCGTTGCACGAACCCCCAGTTGAGCTATGTTAGAACATCGTTGGATGACATTGTTCTTCCCTGAAACCCCATTTCTTGGCATGTATTCCCCTGAGTCAACATAACCAAATTGTACGATAAATAGTGAGAAATAGGGGTAAACGAAATACAGTGTCATTGATATCTCCAATTGGCCGATACAGGAAAAGTGGTGACATAAACAAAAGTTATTGAAGAACAAATTGTATGTTAAATGCCCGAAAGAAAGTCCGTAACGTGTTACACCACCTCATCTGCACCATCGAATTCCGCCTTGGTGGGAACTGTCTCACTTAATGGCCTCCGCAAGCCCAATCGAAATCGGTTCACGCGAGGCATTTTTTCCAATGCAAGAGTATCCACCCGTAATACGGTCTCTCGGTAGAGCGACTGCGACCTCCAATCGTACGAGCAGAGGAGAGCGCGCTGCATCCCACCCTCACCGCCACAGAGGAGCATAGCAACGGGAGGTCGAACAGCTCGAAAGAGAGTTACTGACATGGTATTACTGTCAACCAGCGTGAAGACCCTCATCTGGCCGTAACCGGATCGCCAGCTGTCGCTGACTACCCTGTTGACGTCTGGATCGGATGTTGGGTCGACACCAACACACTCGCCACAGACCTCGCGGTGGCGGGATAGTTCACTGCCATACGGAGACCATTTGAGGCGGTTCAGGTTAACGCCAAGGAGGTTTCTCTCGATCCTGTCGATGGGCATATATCCTTCAAACCCAAATACCCAGGGTTGCGCAGACCATACCTTACCCACATACAGGTATGAGAGTAGATATGGAGAAATGACGACAATGATGATCGTGGCACCCATGAACAACCACCCCACGCCTGTTATAACCCCGTATGTATCTCCACCTTTGGATTGAGAGATCCGCAATAGAAAGACCCCCAGCAAGAACCATATTGGTACAGCGCGGAGGGCCACCTTGGCCACCGATCTTTTCATCGTGTTACGCAGGCGGAGATTGACCGCCGCAAACGACTTCCACCTGATAGGAGTACCAAAGGAACCACTGAGGATAACCGTATCGTCATGACCCACACCGACGACCTGGCAAAGGGGCTGAATATCCCACAAGTTACGATCCCAGACGTCATCGATTGTATACCACGGTTTGTCCGGTTCGTCCGATTTGTCCGATGTGCCCGGAAGCAGGCAGATCAGGCGCTCCAGTAATTGATGACTGTCATTGCTCAATGATAGCCGACAGAAGGCTTGGAAAGCACTGTTCTCAGGATCTACTTTTGGTCTGCGTCTCAGCAGGCCCATCAGAATGTATGACAAGTCACCATGATGGCGGATTTCTCGGGTCTCGCGGGTTCCTAAGCACTGTAATGCGATCGACATGAGTTCCAGAGGACCCAGTACAATAGATGATTCGTAATGGTCGACCAGCTGTCTTGACTTAAGCGCGTCCGGCCATGCCTCTGCTGGAAAGTTACGTTTTCTAACCAGTAGTGGGCTCTCGATATCGCTCCCACGAGTGTAAATAGCGATAGGATGGCTGTTGGGACTGAGGAGCACTTCGGGAAAGGTCCACATGCGTCTCCCCCATTGGAGTAGAAATTCGCTCGTTGAATACCTCTGTGCGGAGCCCTTCTTGACAGGAGGGCCAACGACGATGGATAAAGAATGTGAGCCGCGCACAACATCGCTAATGCGATAAATATCCTCGGACATCTCGTGCTCATCTGGCATGCAGCTGCATGCAATCCAGTATGCCTGCACGCCTGCCCGTCGAGCTGCGGCCTCGGCGATATAGTGCAAAGCGTTCAAATCCTTAACGTCGCCATGGGAGAATTGTTCCGTTGTATAGGCCACAAAGATGTATTGTAGGACGCTGGTTTTCCCATGCTCTGCTTCCCACTCACTGACCTTTTGAGGTTGGGCACAGCGTCCATCCTTGAGAAAGCACAAATACCTTGGCCGCAGCAGGCGTTGGGAGATGGGGTTAGACTCTTGATTGCTTAACGCCAGACTCGCCGTCGACGGTGGATGCTCGCGCGGGTTACTGGAAATAGCGGCATAACCCCAGTAGTGATATTTGAAGTGCTCATAATTGCCATCATTCCGAACCTCACCCCCTAGGTCTGCTGGCACAAACAACTGTCAAGTGGTAATTAGCACTAGGTTATATGGTGTTGGTTATGGAAAACAAACCAACAAAAAGATTACAAGGCATGATGGAGCCCATTTCAATAAAAGGTCCATGTCAGAGGCTTGAGAGCTCATCAATCTTTCTCTCAAGACCCACAGCATCACACGTAGCATCATGGGAGTCGGGTCCCTGATTTTCGTACGAGCCCATGTTGAGTTCTGAGGTCCGTTGCAGATCTCACCCGTCGCCTGCACTATTAGTTGAGACAGGCGTCCGTCGGTAGCACTGAGGTATCGATCGTCCTCACACCCATGCCATTCGCGCCCCAGAGTATCTTTGTGACGGAACAGCGTGGAAGTATTATATCGAACACCAGGTTCCTGGAAGGAATGAATTTTGCTCCATGTCAATTTCCCATCTTCACTTATGAGAGCTCTGAGCTGGACGACCTATCGGTGTGTGCATTCGGTCAGCATACGACGCTAAATGGGAAGCTGGTGTATATTATTGTTATGGGGGGCGACCTTCCGGACAAGTGCATAACATACCAAGGATGACATCTTAGTTTGGATTGAGTCCCAACGACCATTCCCAAGTGCCTTGCCCCTGGAGGAAGAGGCATGTTCAATTGGTACTGCTGGAGCAATGTATGTCGTTTTCTTGAGTTTGCAGTCAAGATTCCCTTTGTCGATGTTCTGCTCGTGTCTAACACTTTTCTGCGGCTCGTCTTGCATGTCCGAATCGACCTGCAGTACGAATAAGCCAACTCATTCTACCATCCTCGTCGCCATTCTCTTACTCACCCGTCGCTGGTCCGCTTTTAACTGGTTCATATCGCAGTGCCTTCGGTTGGTGGGCGTAAACTGTTCACGACGTCTCCGGAGTGGATTGAATACCGAGCATCGAACATGGAGCCTGCTCTCTACAACAGGGGGTTTGAACTTTGAACAGACGGAATGTATACACCCTTGTTTCACACTATACGAGGCTAAATCTCAGCCTCGCCGCTTCGCATATATGAGCCAGTCACGGGAGTTTAGCTCCGCCCCTTGGCGGCCGGGGAACGGACCTCTGTAATGTATGGGAAAGTAAACTTCTGGTGTATGCCTTTTCACTATCACTGGCTGCAGCAGCGGGTTGATTGCCAGTTCAAGCCGTGCCAAGGGAGGCTGAAACCAAGGCGCTCAGATTGAGATGCTGTGAAAAGGGCAAAAGAAAAAAATCCTCATCTTCGATGCGTTCCATTCTTGGTTAGGGGTGTTGGGTGTTTGGTGAATAGGGGCTATCACTTATGCTTTGACCGTACCTACACAGAGCATCGACATGCCAGGGGCTTTTCGCCCCGTTCTGTTGGACAAAAAAAAAGCAATATTCGGTATGGTTGGCCAAGAAATATAGCAAAAGCAATTCGCCAAGTCGTCCGAGCAGGCTGTACATACAATGCGCCTTGCTAACCCTTGTCCCTGGACAGGACGTGTAATGGCTTATGATGACTTCTCTTTGTTGCCCATTGCCAACATGACTAGGTCCCACTTCATCTTTGCCCCTAAGCCAATCTGCCTTCTGTTCATTATATACCAGATATAGATGACTGTCACCGTGACAGGAATAGAGATAACCCAAAAGACCCAGAAATCTCTCGACACCGTGATGAACGAGCCGTCTGGCGCACGTTCGAAAAATTGGCTCCCAAAAATAGTCTGCGATATGCATTAGTTGACACCAATTTCTGTGTTTGCGTCAGGGTAACAAAGAACACGAATAGCTCCTTACCGAGATAGTAGTGATTGGCAGGAAAATCAAGGTCATGAAGGCAATTGTAGCCATCGCGTTGCTGTCCGACTGCATAATGCGGTTCCCCTCTTGGGTTACAAGGTGGAACGACTTTTGCACATGGGTCTTTCATCAGCTGCTGTATGTGTGTACAATTTTTCTGTTAAGGAAGTACATACCAACGCAATAACATTCTGCATTCTCTTCTCCAGGCTCCGGAGACGGAGATCCACTGTCTCGAACCGGGCTTCGACCTGGGTCAGCATGCTTGCCGTGTTCCCCATTTCTTTCCTGTCTTCATCGGAGGCTTCTTCGAGGAGAGAATAATACCGTGCAGACAGCTTCTTCAAAGTAAAAAGGACAGCGCTTGATCCCTCCTGGAGATGAATAACATGTTTGGCTACATTGTGCAGCCCAGTAAATGACTGCCTGTCTTCCGCCAGGCGCAGTGTTTCCTATTGAGAGTTAGCAATCGTCGCTCGCACTAAGATTCAAAGAACCTGCCCTTTCCATGTTGCCAAATACCCTGCAGACATCCCACACGGTGAGATCCATCTGCCTGGCGAGATCATTGAGAACAATCACAAACAGACTGAATGGATTCCCGGCAGCCAGGGTGGGAAATGAAAACCTCCGCAATCGATCCTTCAGGACTGATGATGCCTCAAAACATAGCAGAGTTGCCTGCGGCGTGCTCCCGCTTTGCTGATTCCATCGAAGGAAGAAGCCCGACCGGATCCAGGTCCAATCAGCGTGTTCCATGCGGGGCACTTCGCAGCGGGGATCAAAAATCCCAATCGAGCCATTGGTCTCCTTGAGGCTGATGCTTTTGCATAGGAAATGAAACCACGCGCCTGGGATATGATCAGCCGGCAGGTTAGGAGGGAGGAGTGAGGTGGGCATGTACAGCTGTAGCCGTTCATATTGTCTAATGCCCCGAAGGAATGCGTGACCGAGTGCAGTCTTTCAGTGAGAAAGGCTGATGGGACTGAATATTGGTGAAACAGCCAGATGAGTCCATCGGTAAATGGAGTCTCTACGAGATCGAGTGGCGCGAATCTGCGTCACGCGTGTCAATTCTTGGTACAAGGTCAGAATCTGGCTCAGTCCATACCTACATTATCATCAACCGCGATTGCGGTGTGCTGGGTAAGTCGGGGATAGCGACTATTCGCGAGGAGGGCTGATCGCTCCCTGTAGAGACTTGATGAGACACGTATCATATCATTCTCAGCTATTCCCTACCATCGAACCAGTTCAAAACCTCAACCTTCAAGTCGGAAGCCGCTTGCCGGTGCGGATGAGGATTAGCCTGAAAAGGATCGTAGGCGGATTCATCCTCAAATATGGCAGCCATGACAGGATAGAAATTGGTATAGGTAATAGTGGCGGTAGTTGCGGTAGTGTCTTCATCTCGTTTTGTAGGGCTCACGTGGATCCTTTCTGTTGGAGCATATGACTCCTCGTATACCGGGGAGCCATAGCTGTTCTCGCCCCTTGCCCCTGCATATGCGAGCCGAGTGACATATAACTATTCCCACTCACCGTCAATGCAGAGGAAAATGAATGAATCTACTTTCGGCTTCGAAAAGCAAAAACCCTGTTCACTTAACTGTGTACACAGTACCTAGCTGGTGAGACCAACACTTTTCACTCTTAAATGGGTATTTTTACACTTTGCTAGTGCTTTGGATCAATCGCAGCCATGTTACTGGACTGCGTTCTAGGTCACAATTCTCAGTCTGCATGCAGTTATCATTTAGCGTTGCGCCACGTGCGCCCAGTGGACCAAGGTAGAAAATAAACTCTTAAGGAGTAGTTCGCCCAGCAGATTACCTACAACTGGGATGCAAAAGTCAGTTGTTTTCAGGAGGTTTCCCATTCCATCCCATCCTTCTCAGTGATAACCTTATACTGAGTTTCAAGTATCTATCTGTTTGTCCCAGTCTATTTCCATTACTTGTCTTATCATGAACCGAGGCTCAGTACGTCCCTTTCCGCAGCGAAGAACAACATAGGGGATTTTAACATGTACAGGGTTTGAAAAATGGTATGCATGGAGGGGGCTATGTGCCTCAAGGATATGAACGTCAGCTCGCCTCACAGGCTCTTCCCGAAAGGCCGCCTGAGCGGGTGAATCAGGACTCGAATCACCTCAACCAGCACGAGAAACTGTCTTCATCAACAACCGCCGAACATCGACAGGTCTCTGCCAAACAGAATGCGCATGGCGGAGGTTATATTCCTACCAGTGGAAGATAAATGATGCTAGTAATTGGCATGACAAATTATTGGAGGAGTCCTGTACATATCAGAACTGTCTATCTGTGTAAGGAGTGGTATGTATTTGATAGAGAGACGAACTTGACGGAGGGTAGGAATCTGGTGTAGTTAGGAGGGCAAATTTTCCAATGACGAGTACGAATAAATCAAATCAGGATGTAGCCTAAACCAAAAAGACGCTTGAGCTGCCACACTGATAAATGTCCCATACTGTAGGCCTCTCCTTTTTCACCCTCTCTATCCACTGACATTGGTTGCTTTCAAACTTACTACATATTGGTCGAATTTCAGTTACTGGTAAATAAGTACGACAGTGACCGCGCCGAGAATCGGCCGCGCCCATGCAATTTCGCCCGCTCCTTTTATGGACGCAATTATATGCAAGGGTGCACATGCGCATCCGAACGCAGGTGAGGCTGTGCTTTGCTCTCATGCAGAGAGGAGTCCATCTTGGGTTTTCCTGTTGACCTGTCCAGCAAGACACCAAGATATTTAGAGAAATAGCTTTGCCATTTTGGAGAGAACGTACATGAAAACCCCCTCAGCTTCCGGCCATACGAGGATCTGCAAGCAGGCAGGAGAGATTTACATCAACTCACTGCATCGCGCCTATCCAAAAAGCATGAGCATAGGCACTCAACCTGGCCCGCCGACTAAGGCCCCAAATTGGAAGCCGCTCCCTTTCACCCTTCGTATCCATTGGCGCTAGTTGCTTTGCACATAATACATATAATCGGAATTCAGTTGCTGGTGGATAAGTACAACAGTGACCGCGCTGAGCTGAACTTGGCCAGGCAGAATACAACATTGACCGAGACCAAAAGTATCTTCATATTTGATGAGGACAGTGTCACTGCATTCCTAGCATGGCAGTATCTTCCAGTGGCAATCGCTACCGTCGTCGCTATCTGCTGGGAACCTCTGGATGTGGCCGTCCGACGACTCGAGCCTTTCTACCAACTATGCAGTAATGATGGCGGAATCGCCTCCAACGCAATGTGTCTCGACTATGTGGCAAAGTTCACTCCGACCGTCCCTTACAGCGCAGTGTGCAATCGCCACTACGCGGTAGCCATCTCTGCGACGCTCTACATCATAACGGCATCGGTTATTCCAGTATTCACCGGTGGTCTATGGACTATCGATTGGGGTAGCCTTTCGCCTTCGTCTCAGCGGCCTAAGGGTCCAAACATCGCTACAATATCAGTCCACGCAGGATTCACAATCACAGCTCAGGTCTGCCATGGAGTGGCGGCCACCGCCGGCATCGTGCTCGCCTGGATTCTCTACCAACGACGAACAGGCCTGCATCACGATCCAAGGAGCATCGGCGGGATCATACCGCTTATCAGTGAGGCTGATCGTGCTGGTTCCAGTGCGCTATCACTCTTTCGTCAAATGATAGGTTCTATTCGGGACTGTTGCGTGAGAGCCCCTTGCGTCGGGCCCACGATATCCCGTGCTGGACATCGCACACAAATATCGCCTGGCCTTCCCCTCCCTCGAAAAGAACATCGCCGTTTCGAGGGAGAGCCGGGCTCTCTCCGCGACGGTTTCTTCCCGCCCACCGCGGAACCCCCTCATGTATATACCACGTATGCTCTCGCATAGCTATTTTTCCTCCTAGAATATACGGAGTGCCACGGGCCCGCCTGCAGCCCTCACGGCGCTGTAGCCCTCCGTCAACGAGGCCTACATCGCCAGTGTTCAGACCGCAGGTGCCCCGTGCGGGCCAAAATATCTCATCCGTCTCCATTTGTGCCAGTGTAGCAATGGTTAGAATAGATACCATCATTTGCGCACTCCAAGGTAGTATGTCGAACCTTGGACGGGGTTGTGTTCCAACTAAAACACCTGCCAATCCCGCAGGCTGACAGCACCATCCGTACAACATTCCAGCTTACCGCCAACAGGTCTCCAGGGCACCCGCTGTATCTCACCAACGCGGACCGCACATTTGCCGGTGATCGTGGTGATGGTGGCGGATGGTGGCTATCCAAGCGTGCGATATGGAGTGCGGAGGTATTCATCTGGCTGGGCCAGGCAGCCATTGCCGCTGCCATCTATAAAGTCGCCAGGGCCCTGGGTTCGGACAGTATGGCGGAGAGCATCAAGCCCACAATTGCTAAGATGGTTTTTACACTCTGCACGTCTTTCGGTGGCATGATGTGGCAGAGCATTCAACGCGACGTCCAGGTATTTGAACCTTGGCGACAGCTCACACGGAATGGTAGAGGCTCCATATTCGAAGCGCTTGTTCAATCGGATATTGTGAGTTTAGGTCTGGTTGGTGGAATGGCCGTTAGCCTAAGAAGAGGGTGGCTGGTAAGTCTGTGGGCATCATTCTCTGTGGTCATGGTACACGTTGCTGTGGTGTTTGTGCCGCCATTACTGGAGCTGGCCTATGCTGCGGGTATTTTGAACGATTCCCCGTACGAGCAGCGTGTATTTGGGGTCCTGCAGGGAGCATCCGGACTGGCTCTTGCGGTCACCGGCGTCGCGATACACTTAGTTATATTTGGAAATATGCTCTTCCTGTTGCTGAGCGGTAGAAGCCGGCCGCTGATGCCACGAAGACCCACAACCATTGCCAGCTAGATACTATATTTCTGCCGGAGTGACGCACTGCTGGCAGAGTTCACTGGCACCTCTACGGCGTCGAATCACGAGTTAGTGCGAGTATTGGGCAGCAATGACCGGACATGTCATTTCGGCTGGTTCTGGTGGTGGCGTGGACAGGCATGGTGTGTGGGAGTGGACTTGAACAGTGCAGGGAACGCTGGCGCGCCGTTCGACTTTGGCAATGGGACTTATCTGTACAATCCATGTACATAGAACTACAGCCTCATATAATGGACAAATCACGGTGTCTCTGGATTTGATGTCCTCGGGCATGTGGACACACACTCTCCATGTGCCAATCGGTACTTAAGTTCATGACCAGAAACATAATTCGGACGAGCCAAGGTGATATCAGGTAATTATCTAGTCCACCAGGAATACCAAACGATACGCCTTAGGACATCTGGATGAATATCGCTGTCGCAGCTCGTTATCGAAAAGCTGATGATTTCGAGTTTCTCGCCAAGAGCGTGACGCTTTCCTAATCGAGATAGCGTAGCGTGACGATTTCTTCTTCGGTATTAACGTCTAGCCAGAAAAGGAGGCTAAGATCGGGCTCGGCCAATAAAATCGAATTGAATTCTCGAATCCCTGTCAAAATAGATGAATCCCTGTCAAAGTAGGTGAATCCCTGTCAAAATTGGCACAATTCCTGTCATTATTGGTTGATCTCTGTTAACCCGATATAATGTGATAAGCTGGTCTAAAATGGATATATCAAATTCCGTCTGATGCTGTTCTAGCTGTGAGTCGGCAGTTTCAGAAGAAGTCCATTCATTCAAGACACTAAGCTGGGGAGAAAGAAAAGAGAGAAAGAGAGAAAGACCGAATCCTGCTATCTACCCCCTCCACCCAATCACCTGCGTCCCCACGGCATGCCTGCTTCTTCAGGCCTCAGTCCGCATCCATTGCCCATGTGTCACACCATGTGATAAATTCTTGGTCTTCAACGACACCCGTGGCAATGACCCCGACAATCCCCACTGTTACTGTGACGTATCTAGCAAACGACAAATGTCAGGGCCTGGTCGCCGCGTCCCCTACGGCTCACACTTCGTCTGTCGACTCGGTCGTTGCAATTTTTATCGGCCAGAGATGAGAGATAGATATCATCAGCTGTCTCTTGAGGAGCTGGAAGCAGAACTTCTTGACCTTTTGATCAGATTTTGTGCTATCTAATCCTCACGACATATATGTAGCGGGAATACCTCATTCTTTAATTTTGCAATGCGTGAATAAGAGTTGGGCGGGGAAATGGTTGCTGAACTTGGGCAGTCGTGGGCGGGTGACGACTCGTCATACATGCCTAAGACCTCTTTATCCGACTGTTGCCCTAGGCTATTCAAAACCTGTGTAGGATTTAATGGCCAGATACACGTAGACTCGAACGAAGATTGAACAGTCTTAGATTTCAGGGCGCGGTGTCGGACAGCCTCAATATCGCGGAAGAAGTCGCTTTTTTCACTGCTTCCACCCCACGCTACAACTTCACTATTCGCCATTTTGAAATGATGCTTTAGGTCTTAAAAAAAGCCTCAGCATCAGGCGGCTGACATAGATGAGTCGTATGAGGCACAAAAAACCAAGGAATGATCAAGCTTTCCTTGCAAAGATCGAAAAATTCGATCGTTGTATGTGGTACATGAGTGTCTATTAGCAAAAGCCTCGGTCACCCACGTTTTACGCGGTGCTTTGTGGCTTCATGAAACGGGCAGAGCTACACCCACATTGTGAGGCTGATTCCATAGGCCGCGAGGTCGCGGCCTTGGAAGGAGGGGGATATTGTCAGGGCCACGACCCTGACATGCCTTATGTTCACAATACCCTGTTCCAGGCTCACATTGTGATGCCTGAGGACTCGCAGTGCGACTCGGGATCTTCACACTGTGAAGCAACATGAGCTGTCACAACTCGCTTAACTGTTTAGTAAGCGCACCATGTATTTATTATTGTCGATTCCAAGAGATACGGTACGCGCTAGTTCTACAATAGACCATTGATCGGCCTGTTATCATAGAAATGAGTGTAATTCTTAGTACTGCATGCTGCAGCGACTATTTAGTTATGTAATTAAGATAATCCGGATTTGTCATCCTGGATATTAGTCAGCGCACGGCATTTTGGGGAATTGTTAGGGACACTCCCACTTTTGTTCTGGACACTCCTAATTATGTAACTTTTGTTCTGGACAGGGAATTGATAGGGACACTCCCACTTTTGTTCCGGACACTCCTAATTATGTAATATCCATGATTAGGTAATTGAAAACGTCATGTGATTGTATTGGAATTACCACAGCAACATCATTCTAAATGTCATACCATAGTATAGTATAAATCCCCAGCTCTCGCCTCCCTCTTTTCTTAGCTCCTCAAATCTCTGCCTCTCGGATTTTTCAGAAATGGAGCCCCCTACTGAGCAAATTTTTGATAGCAGAGATTTATTAATTGCCTCTGTCCGTCAGCATGCTCTCTCGCAAGGTTACGCTGTCACTACTATACGATCAATCACAGATAAGTACATCTATCTTGGTTGTGACCGTGGTGGCACGTATCGTGACCGAGTGAATGCTCCTGATGGAGCGAAACGAAGAACGACAACTACACGGCGGATTGGCTGTCCATTTAAGCTATACGGGAAAATGCTTTTTGATGATAAGTGGGAGTTACAGGTCCAAAACCGGAATCATAATCACACAGCTGATGATAATATGATCGGACATTCAGCTGCCCGTCGGCTCACAGAGGAGCAGCTTCAAAAGGTCCTACATCTATCGGAAATTGGATCTAACCCTCGTGGCATCCTAGCTCTAATCAAACGAGAGCATCCTAATGCTTTAGTTACCCCTCGAGACATCTACAATGCGCGAAGTGCTTTACGAAGGCAAAAGCTCGGTAATAGTACTCCCCTTGAGTTTCTACTGAAGACTTTGAAGGAAAATCACTGGAAATATGCTATTAAGCAGGATAGCGAAGGACATGTCCTCTTTTTTATGTTTGCACACCCAGAGTCAATCAAGTATGCTAACCTATACAACAGGGTATTCGTCCTAGACTGCACCTATAAGACAAACCGATATCGTATGCCTCTATTGCATATTATTGGTGTCTCGCCATCAAATTCAACCTTTAGCGTTGCATTTTGCTTTATGCAGAATGAACAGGAAGAGAGCTATATTTGGGCTTTAAAGACTTTTTTCTCATTTCTCGACCCCCTCTCTTTCTATCCAGTTCTTTGTACAGATAGAGACCTTGCATTATTAGGTGCTGTCAAGGTCGTCTGTCCAGATTATCCCCATCTTCTTTGCATCTGGCATATTAACAAGAACGTAACGTCTAATACGAAGCAGCATTTTACGACGAACGCCGAATATCAAACATTTCAAAAATCATGGAATCAGCTAATTTATTCTACTACAGAGAACGACTACAATTCGAGGCTATCAGAGTTCGAGAAGCGATATCAGACCTCCCCTTCTCTTCGATATGTTAAGGAGACATGGCTAATTCATAAAGAAAAATTTATAGTTGCATGGACACAACAATGCCTACACCTCGGTAATTCTGCGACCTCTCGAGTTGAAGGCTCACATGCCTTTTAAAAAAGCACATCGGTGCTTCGACAGGGGATATGTTGATCGTATTTGAAAGGATTTCACTGGCTTTACAAACCCAGCATGCTACGCTTGAATATGATTTTAGACGAGATCAGATTGAGAGGCCAGTAGTAACCTTACATCAACTTTATACTAATATTGTGATCAGGACCTCCCGCTATTCGATACGACTGATTGGCGAGCAAGTTACAAAGGCTAGAAGAGCTACAAATCTTGCTCCTTTACCCCCTTGTACTAATACGTTCACAAGGACAATGGGTCTTCCTTGTGCCCATCGGATTACTAAGTTATTGGAGAGCAATAAAGCTATCCCATTGACAGATATCCACCCATTCTGGCGAACTGGGCTTTCTGAAATGGAATCAGAATACCTTCCTCTCTTAGAGCCTTTGATTCCTTTTCCAAAGCCTAAAAAGCGGAAGTGGGATCAATTGGAGCAGAAATACGACAGCGAGACTATGAATAAACGGAAGAGGGCACCCTTTAAATGCACTGCATGTGGTAAAGTTGGGCATACACGAAGGTCATGTAAATAATACGGAGAATGAATACCAATACAATCACATGACGTTTTCGATTACCTAATCATGGATATTACATAATTAGGAGTGTCCGGAACAAAAGTGGGAGTGTCCCTATCAATTCCCTTCTTGGCCACGCTTCTTGGCCACGCTTCCTGGCCACGCTTCTTGGCCACGCTTCTTAACCACGCTTCTTAACCGCTCTGCTTAACCCCCTTCTTAGCCCCCTTTCTTAGCCCCCCTGTTTAACCACTTTTTGGTAGAATCAAGATCGCACTCTGCCTGCCAAATGTAATTACTGCTTTGAGGTGGAGAATGTCAAGGAGTTTCTTCGAATCTCCCCTGTGACTAGAGATGGAACGATCCCACCTTTGGAAAATAGGAGGAAGCACAGCAGTGGTCCCACCGCCAAACATTTTCCTCGTCAATGATCCGCGGCAAAGTTGACCCACAATGCGGCTCAGCGGATAATCGCCTTCGGAATCACTCGAGTACAATCACTGATCAAAGCCGTCAAAGAAAACTTCAAACCGGAAGGTTCAGGAACATATGTGAATCTTCAGAGGAGGTACATGTCACTTACCCGAGTCAAATGTGGGAGTGCACAAGCCCTCGGGGCCGAGATCAGACAGATCCATGCCGAGAGACTTTTGCTCGACTCCGCATGTGTCACTTCTGAAACTGAACTAACCTTCTTTCTCCTCCATGGCTTAGGTCCAGAATATGAGAGCTTCCGCGACCATGTCACTAGGCAAATGGACATTGAATGATAGAGATGAGGACGGAAATATCACTAAGGCAGCCCCTACATTCGACTACATTGAGAACAAGGCCATTGAAGAGGAACATAGGAAAGGACAGCTGGGCAACCATTCCGCAGATACAAATGCGATTCCTGCCTTCACAATCAGCCAAAGCCTAGGAGACAAGAAAGTCATACCGTCTTCAGATGGGAAAACGTGCCGAATCGAGATCAACAATGTCCCATGTCCCTTTCTGTGTTTTCTGTCGCAGACCCTATCACAGAGAGTAGGGGTGCTTCAAGAAGAATCCCTACCTGAGGGGCCAAGAAAACGAGAGAAAGATGCGCAGATCAAGGCCCAACGATGCATACACGGACCTTCGTAAGCCATCTAAGAGACGGGCCTAGTACGAAGACGACGATTCAGAAGGACCGAGGGAGCCCAATAAGACCGACTTTCATGGCGACACAAGTTCCGAGAGAAGATATCAATGCAGCTTTTGGAGCGGAAGTCGAAGGAAATGTTGCCACCTTTGACTATATTCCCAGTATGACGGCCACAAAACCTCTCTCAATCAGTGACGCCTGGATCGTGGACAGGGGGGGGGGGCAGTGGGGGTGCTCAGCACATCTGTAACAATACTTTGAAATTCGTCAAGATGGACAAATATGATGGTCCACCGTTGAGAAGCGTTGATACCTCAACAGCCCCTTCCGGCATAGGAGTGGCAAATATCCTGTGCAATGTACGAGGAAGAAAGAAATGGCTCGTTCTAGATGATGTCCTGTTCGTCCCGACCGCACATGCCAATCTCATATCTGTGTTACAGCTTCTCAATCGGGGGGCAAAGATCGATTTCCCAAGCAATAGCGCCATTATTCGGAACAAATCAGATGGGAAAAATCTGTTTACTGCGAGCCAATTCCATGGAGTCTACGCACTCGACCTATGGGCGAAATTTGTTTTTCCAGCCTACTACGTCAGCTCGCAATCGGCACCCTGGCACAACAGGCTCGCTCACATGAGCGGTGCGAATATACAACGACTCAAAAAGCAGGCCCACGGAATTCGGGATAACGCGCCACGCCAACCTTGCAACCCATGCCTTCAGGGAAGAATGATTGAAATCCCCCATCGTGGTTCAGAAGCATGCAAAAGATCCAAATACGCCACGGAGCTCCTTCATATCGATGTTGCAGGACCATTTGAAGAGGGCCTTGATCTTATTTGCGTACTCGGCGTGTTGCGCTTGAGTCATAGTCATCTCTGAACATAGTATCTCTGTGATTCTTGCCATTTCGTTCGCGAAGGCATCTGCGGCCTCGATATCAATCTGTTGCTTCGCGGGAAGTTTTCGTGTTCCTTGGGGCGGTTCATGTCCCATTCCCGGGTGTTGTCCGTATACGGCGTAGAATGGTGTCACGGCGGTTGTCGCTGACTGATGATTATTGATTGCAAATTCTGCAAGAGGTAACCAATTGACCCAATCGTCTTGCGAATAGTTGACGTAGGCTCGAAGGTACTGCTCTAGCCCCTGGTTGGAGTTTTCCGATTGGCCATCTGATTCTGGGTGGTAGGCAGTAGAGAGCCTGGTCGAAATCCCTAATCGCTGGCAAAGCCGCTGCCAAAGACGAGAAGTGAACTGTGTCCCTCTGTCGGATACAATTGTCGTTGGTAGTCCATGGTGCTTCCATACGTGGTGCAAGAACAACTGTGCCGTGTGCTTTGCATTCGTAGATCCACATGCAATGAAGTGTCGTTGTTTCGAAAGTCGATCGGTCACGACCATGATGTTCTTGCAGAACTGGCCTGTCGTTTCATTTTTGCTTCTTGGTAGCTCGACAATGAAGTCTACTGCTATGTCTTCCCACCTCGTCCGCGGCGTGCCCAGAGGTTGCAAAAGCCCCTGGTAGGGCAGTCGCGACGCTTTGGATCGCGAGCAGGTGTGGCAATTGCGTAGATATCGTTTCACGGTTTGGCCCATCTTGGGCCAATAGTAATTTCGTGAGAGCAGTTCGTAGGTTTTGGCTCTTCCAGGATGCCCCGCGGCAGCATTGTCATGGCACGATCGTAGGAGACGGAGGCATAGTTCATCGACGTCCAGCACAAACCTTCGGTCTTTTTTACAAATAGTCTTCCATCTTTTTCTACCATCTCGTTGATGGGGATCTTGAGTCGAGTCAGCTCTGTCGGTAGCTGGCGGTCGTGCGTGTCCATAGTCTCTCGTATCTTTGCTGATATTGGGTCCTTCGTATAAGCAGCGGTGATCAACTCATCGAGGGGTTGCTGCGTATCATCTTGATTTTTGTGTAACGTATTCTGCTTGAAGGCAAGCGGATGCATTCCGGGTGAGATGTTGTGTGGCTTGATCACTGTCTGGTCTTGATGTCGTAGCCTCTCGTCGTCATCCGTTTGTGGCATATCTGACGACCGTCTGGTCAAAGCATCTGGTTTCCCACCCTGTGCTCCTGGACGATAGACGAGTTTGAAGTCGAACCGTGAGAGAAACTCGCTCCATCGCGCTTGTCGCCGACTGAGGCGCTTGGTTGTCATGAAATGTTGGAGGTTCTTGTGGTCACTGATCACTTGTACAGGAGTGTCTGCACCTTCCAGCTCGGCTAGCCATTCTTCAAAAGACTGTACAACAGCCATGAGTTCTTTTTCGTAGATGTCATAGTTTCATTCCGCCGGTGACAACTTGCGGGAAAAGTATGCGACTGGGTGCAGGGTCCCATCCGAATCAGGCTGTGACAAGCAGCCGGCATTGACGTAATCCGATGAGTCGCACTCGATAGTGCTAGGCTTGTCTGGGTCAAAATGTCGTAGAATTGATGCTGAGGTGAACGCTTCCTTGAGCTCTTCGAACGAAATCTGGCATTTCTCGTTCCATGTGAATGGGGTATCTTTCTTGGTCAATCTGGTGAGAGGGTTGGCTTTTGCGGCAAATCTTTTGATGAACCTTCGGTAGAAATTCGCAAAACCAAGAAAACTTAGGATGTCCTTGATGTTTTGTGGGGTCGGCCACTCTTTGACGGCAGAGACCTTCGCCGGGTCCATCTGGATGCCGTCCGTACTCACGATGAGGCCCAAATATTTCACTTCCTGTACGTGGAATTCGCACTTTGCAATGTCGGCCTGTAACCCATGCTCTTTCAGGCGTTGTAATACCTGGCTCACGTGTCTCTTGTGTTCTTTCAATGAATTGCTGTAGATCAAAATGTCGTCTAGATATGCCGTGCAAAAAAGGTCAAGATACCCTCTCAGGGCGTCGTTCACATAGTGCTGGAAAGAAGCAGGGCCATTCGTCAGCCCGAAGGGCATCACAAGGTATTCAAACAATCCATATCTCGTCCGGAACGCGGTCTTCCATTCGTCTCCCTTGGCGATGCGAAGACGATTGAACGCCGCTATGATATCCAGTTTGGTGTAGTACTGAGCTTTGCAGAGCCGATCTAAGGTCTCTCGGATCAATGGGATCGGGTATCGGTTCTTTACTGTGAGCGCATTGAGGGCTCGATAGTCCACACAGAATCGCAGCCCGCCTCCCGGTTTTCGAACAAACAGAACTGGAGAGGCGGCGGGTGATCGCGATGCTCGAATAAATCCTTTCCCTAAGTTTGCCTCCAAATATTCTCGTAAGACGAGGAGCTCATCTCGGGACATGTCGTACAGCGGCCCGAATGGCGGCTCGGTGGCTTTCTTTAGCCGTATTTTGTGGTCGTAGCTGCGGTGCGGCGGGAGTTTGTCGGCTTCTTTCTGCGAAAACACGTCGAGAAAATCATGATATTCAAGAGGTAATTTTTCTTTGGGGTCAATTCTGATCTTAGGGGCCAGTGCCTTCTCTATATCTGCCATCGAGGCAGCGAAGATGGTGAATTCTTCGGATCTCTTTCTTGCTTTGTCTGTCAAGTAGAGAAAGGGGGACGCTCCAATCATGCGAACGTCGAGCGTATTCCTTTCGGTATCTTTCGTCGGTTTCTTCATCGTTTCTTCTTTTGTGATTCCGTAAATCTCGATACTTTTCTTCATCCCACAATGGTGGTGACAATGTGCAGAATCGAATGTCAACGTGTTCTTTTTCCATGAGATTGTCGCATCGTGGTAATTCAGCCAAGGGATCCCGAGCACAATCGGTTGCCGGCTCAACTTGGTCACAAAATAGGGCAAAGTCTATCTATGCCCCTGTATGTTCATCGGTATTCGTGTCATATGGGTAATCCGCCCCGCGACCGATTGCCTTCCGTCGACGACCTCGAGCCGTCGCGGATGGCGTAACGGTTCTAGTTTCAAATCGTGTCTTTGCGCAAAAGTTTGATCAATAAAAGCCATTCCATTTGCTCCGCTATCGACAAGAGCATCTATCTGCAAATTCCTTCCGTCCTTGTGGAGAGTGCATGGCAGGATGAGGTGATGACCATCTAGTTTCACCTTCTGCTGCCGCACAGAGCAAGCGGAGATCTTTATTGATCGTACTTCGTGCTTCATCAGTCCTAAATCGCTACTTCGATCTAGGACATTTCTTTTCTCTCAACGACTGTGCTTTCATCGTCGGTGTCAGATTCCATCGTTGCATTGTTTACCTTTGCTGTTCCGCGACCAGCAAGGCGTGGCATCTCCTTCATCTGCGGGTTTGTGCACTCGTGGATCCGATGTCCATGCTCCCCGCACTTGTAGCACCGGCCATGCTGGGCGAGTAAGGCACGATCTACCGAGCGCGGAACATAGCCTTCAGATCGTGCGGCGAAGGGTGTCCGTCTTAGCCGTGACTTTTCGTATTGCGGATTGGTTCGGGTGGTTCCAACTACGCGGTTTGGCAACCGTCTTTCGTAATCACGCATCTCATGATCAACGTCACGATAGAAATCTACCAAGTCGTAAAAATCTGCGGGTCTCTGCAACCCGATGGCTTGTCGTGCCAATTCGTTTGAGATTGCATTCTCGAGTAGCGGTATCATAGCATCTTCAGCGTATCCAACTTCCGCAGCGCAGCGGGCAAAGTCGGCATAGAAGTCATCAAAACTCCTCCTTCCCATGCGCAGGGTGCGCAGTTCATTGATGGCCCTTTTCCTCTTGTTCTTGTCACCGTAAATCTTTTCTAGGGCTTCCAATGCATCTTCGGCGGACTGAAAGCAGCGTGGATGATCGGGTCGGCATTGAGCCCGTATCTGCTGATGCGCGACTCCGTCAGTGCGACTACGAATGTACGCAATCCGTTGCTGTTCAGTTGGGTATTGAGCGGCGCTGTTGTTCAGCTTGTCATAGACTTTGTCTCTCCAGCTATCAAACGCGCCGCGATCTCCTGAGAATACAGGTGCATCAGGGAACTTTGGATTATCGAAGCGTCCTGGGCTGGTCGTGTAAAGTGGGTGCGAACCGCCTCGTCGTATCGGTTCAGTTCGGGCGTCCAGAGAGGCCTCATGTTGAGGAGCACGGTTTTCGTTGGTTCCTTCCGCAACTGGCGTCGTCTGTCTCGTCGTATTCAGCAGCGCAATGATTGACTGATCGCGATCACGCTCTCGGTATGCTCCGTCCAACTTCGAAGTCAGTTCCTCGACTCGGTTCTCTGCCATGTCTCTTTGGACGGTCATACGGTCTCTTTCACGTCGCAATTCTCGGTTGTCTTCGCCTAAACGTATGACTTCTTCCCGGATCATCTGATCAGTCACCTGATTTGTGTTCATTTTTGCTTGTTTGTCCATGGCAACCAGAACGTCCCACCAAAACTCGAAGTGGTGCCGCAGTCGTGCTAATTGTTGCGCTCTGTCTAGAACGCAGATCGCTCGAGCAGGGCGTAGTGGGTGATTTGGGCTCACATAGTCAAACGCATCAATATCATCGGGGCTACGCCTGTATTTTCTGCTGGCGTTGTCTTGTCGCCTTCATTGCTGGGCTGATAATCGTCGTCGTCATCAGAGCCATCATCATCGACGATGGTAGCTTCTCGTGCTATCACGATGTCTCTTCTTGTCCGGCCTCTCCATTCTACTTCCTCGGCTCCTCGAGCGTTAGGATTCTCATTGTTGGACTTGGGCGTCATGTTGTCTGTTGTATCGGTTGTCCGTTATGTCTTTTGTCTTTTGTCTTTTGTCTTTTGTTGTCTTTTGTCTTTTGTCTTTTGTCTTTTGTCTTTTGCCTTTTGTCTTTTGTCTTTTGTCTTTTGTCTTTTGTCTTTTGTCTTTTGTCTTTTGTCTTTTGTCTTTTGTCTTTGTTGTCTGTTGTCTTTGTTGTCTTTGTTGTCTGTTGTCTGTTGTCTTTGTTGTCTGTTGTCTTTGTTGTCTGTTGTCTTTGTTGTCTGTTGTCTTTGTTGTCTGTTGTCTTTGTCGTCGGTTGTCTGTTGTCGGGGTTGGCGCTACGTAATGTGAGGGTCTCACGTATACATAGAGGTGGATAGTGTTTCAATATTAACAATCAATATTAAGAACAACTATAGTTGACTCTAGATACAAGACGTAGCGCGAGGAAGCAAAAGAAAGGTAGCTTCCTCGCGTTCAGGGGAACCCATGTACACCATGTGGGTCCCGTGCGGATCATATCTCCATCTGTTCCGCATGCTTCAATCTATATCCTTGACAGGAGGACGTTTAGCTCCCAGAAGCTGATAGCATGATTCTAGAAGCGATATGTATCACCAGAATCCCTCCAGAGTTTGTCCGTTCTTCGGTATCGGGTGTCTCGTGGAACCGCTCGGCGCGTTTTGTCCATCTAGCAAGCTCTTTTTGCTGGCGAAACAGCCACGAATGGTGACACGGAGGCCACCGGTACTTCAGAACACATGCAGGCGTTGCTGGCCAGCCCGCAAACCAAGTGTGAGCCCATTGCCGCCATTACATCCATACTGGCCAAGAAGCTCGCAGCTGATTTTGGACGACCGGAGGGAGATATCGATATATCGCTGGCACTGACGGATATTGGCGTTGATTCATTGATTGCGGTCGAGCTCCGTAACCGGATCGGTGTTACGATGGATGCCGATTGCTCTATCTTTGATATCATGCAAAGTCCCTCGCTGAGTATTCTTGTTGAGACTATGGCGAGCAAGAGCTGGCTGGTTCGATCGGAGATTCGTTGATTATATCGCATATGTTTAGTAGTCGGTTCAACACGAAGCAGGGCCTTCAAAGCACATATTTCCTTTTCCCCACCCCCCACCCCGCAGACGCTGGATTCTTACACCGCCACATCGTAAGCGTCAGCCCTGCACCCGACCTTGGACTCTGGAGAGGCCCGAGACATGACTTGTGACCAGAATTCCTCTCCACATGACGTTCAGGAGCGTAATGTAATTTTTACACCTGAGTAGAAACCTCGGTAGAAATATGTGTACGAAGAGGGCATTTTCGGGCAAGTCCCGGGAAGTTAGTCTACCTGGGTAAAACATTCGTGTTCCCATCATGGCTATCAATCCCGGGGTAGGCCACGAGAGGTTTAGGATAGGCTCCATTGTTAAATGAGGAAGGAGAGCAAGGGAAAAAAAAAAAAAGAAAGAACAAAAATATAGCAAAGCAAAGATGGCTTGAGCATCACCAGCGTGCCACGTAGGCCTATATACATAGGTAATGTTATAGGTGTGAATTTTTCTGAGCCAACAGGAGGAACTGGCATTGCCAAAGTGGAGAAGGGGTCTTGAAACCCCGAGGTGTGTTGGTGGCGAGGGAAATTATTTGAGTCGAAAGGGTTTCAGGGGAAAATCGAGTTCGGAAAAAATGGATTTACACATCCTCAATTGTTCTTGACAAGATTGGTTTTGTATTGTTTTATTCGTAAAATTTGGCTAAAACAAAGGAGATAGTGCACGTTGACTTTTGTTGCTGTTTTTCTCAAACAGTTCAATCAAAACTGATAAAAATGTCAATCACGAATAAAGATAGCGGGAAAGGGCGCTATCTAGGGTGTCGGGCCGCTAAATAAAGCTAAAGATCGAGTCTAGAAAAGAAATTTAATATATATAGAGATTCGATCGTTAACCTTTCGCACTAAACACTAGGTCTTAGTGGAAAACGGGTCTAGAGCCGTAAAATGGTTCTGTGATTATTCTTCGCGTTGTGTAACATAGTCTAAGTTGGTTAGTCTCTTCCGCGTATTTTTCCACCAGATTATACATCCCAAGAACTTGAAACAGGATCGACAACTACTTCCCCGATCGAGGGATATACATCAATGGCAACCGTTCCAATTCTTTTTGCGCGCGAAATGTTGAGATAGAATAATTGAAGCAACAATTGAAGCAACGCGCAAGCACATGTTCTCCTCTTGTTAGGTGTGGCTAAAGGCTTTCTTCAGCCACTTGGTCCATTCTGCAATTCCAAAAAGATCAAAGCCCCTAACGGCGACGGTCCGCGCCTAGGATCCTTGTTGCGGTGACGAAGCCTAACTCCGTTCGCGAAACTGAGAACATCAGGGGAGCGATTGTGGCGATGGTCCATTTTTACCGTCTTTTTTTTTTTTTTAATATTATTTTTCTTTCATCCAATCTAGCCTGAAGCCCTTATAAGATAGAGGGTTCCCCCGAGGATTGTCGTGAATCTGGCTATCTCCCCTTTACTCCTTTAATGACCGCATTGACGATTTTACGATCATACAACCACCACTCTCTCGATACAAACATGCCTCAGAAAGATTGGTTCTGTGTTCTTCATGGCTACCAGTTCTGTATGTGCGCGAGGCTCTATATGGAGCTCACAGATTATTCTGAGCATAGCAACCCCATAGATCAGTCGTCGACAGATCATCATCCCAGAATACCTCAAAGCCATGACTGGAATTGTTGTCCGTCGGCTCCGTCGGCTCAAGTTCCCATCCACAATGCTGCGCAACACAATCCTGTCTGGGGATACAACCCCCAGACCCCTTGAATATGGGGATCCCTGGTGACGGGTACACTTCATTGCACGGCAACTCCAGCACTTTTACAGCTAGCATATCTCCGCCTGTGCAAGTGCAGACACCTCCAAGCACCGCTGGTCACACTTCAACAAGGGGAGAAACACTGTATTACGGGAGCCCGGTGCAGGAATACACCCCGAAGTAGGTTTCCTGCAACCCTGCCTCGAGCATGAAAATCATTCATCTCTTGCTAACCATCACTATAGGGATCCCGAATTTCCTTTGCAGTGTTACTGGAGTGGCGACTGCGAACACGGGTTGACATTCCCCGACATCATATCGCTGATGAATCATTTGGAAACGGTTCATATTAATCCGCAATCTCGGGCAAATGCGAATCAGTCGTAAGATATCCAATGTCGTTTTTAATTAGCGGATTCATCTGCTAATGCCGTGTTCGCTCTCCTAGGGGCCACGCAGGCGGAATACAATGCGCTTGGAAGAAGTGTACTTCTACCTTCGGTAAAAAGGTCTCTCTGGAACGCCATGTCAGATGGCTCCATGTCAACTCGGAGTCGTTTCTTTGTCCTTTTTGTGACAAAGTTTGCAACCGAGATGATAACTTGAAGGACCATACGAGCAAGTACCATCGGATTTCAACTTGGTGGAGACGTTGCAAAGGGGATTGTTATTCCATTTGAGTGGAACTCTCTGTCGGCTTTTGAGATGAATTGGTATGGTTTATGAATAGTGAATATGCAATGTGAAGGCAGGCGTTATTTATAAGGTACATGGGGTGGGCATAGATATAGGAAAAAATGTATTAGACTAATTTTGCTTGTTTTCTTTTCTGGAGTACGTGATTGAACCTCCTTCACATCGTTAAATCATATATAGTAAGTTGGACCATTGAGTGCAGTTTACCGTTGATGTAGAAGTAAAGACGGCGAGGTTCTTGAAAGTGACAAGGATAACTACAATAACTACAAATAGTCACATTATTGATTATTGATTTGATTCGCATCACAACCACGGAAGATTTCAATGTATAATATGGCCGTCTGTTGAGGAAAAGTTGTTCCTGGCGACACAATAATAGGAGGTTCCTCCAACCCGGGTATAAGGCCGCCAAGGCCCCGTTGCATTCTAAAGTACGGAGAATGGACAAACGATATCGGTAGGAATACTTCTCGATATTCCATTGACGACCCGAGCTCGATGCATCAATCATGTGGCTACTGGGCAGCTTAAATGTGGAGTCAGTTTACATCCACTGAAAGTACCGGTTGGATCGGAATGTAATCCCCGTGTATTGCACTATATCAAAAAAAAATTGGATGGATCGACAGTGCATGAATCGGGTGTTTGGGAAAAAAATAAAAATAAAAATAAAAATAAAAAAACAATTGTGAAACTTTGAACTGCTATTAATCCCAGCAGAACGGTTAAAGGTTCGGGTCCTGCGATTCGGGCTACATTACAGGAGGTTCGATCTTTCTGGAAATTCGGCACGTTGACAATGATCGCGTATTTTCGAAGTCCTCAGCTTGGATTGATAGGCAGAAAGCTCGCGAGACACATACTTATGGGGGTGTAACTTAAATTTGCGCAATGACTTTTGCTCCGGGAATCATGACTATGTACGGAGCCAAAATGTCTATTATGAGCTATAGTGTACTGTAGCGGACCAGATCTGTCTGACAATGAGATATGCAAATCCGATGGCAGTAAGTTATGTTCAGAGGGTGATGTAGAGCGGGAAATCGATTGTACACAGTTTCAACAGTACAGTGGTGTAACAAAAGTAGTGATGGTGTAATAACGAAATTGGCCAACTCATTACGAAATCTTGAAATTTCAATTTTTTTCCTCCTTTCAATTACATTTTGTCGGAACGTGGTCGTTACAGTACGGACTAGTACGGGCATAGCCAATTGAGTACTTGAGAGTGTGTGTTGATATTTAGAAGCCCATTGACGCCGTTTCTGCGCGTGTTCTTCGGTCAAATAAGGTCTCCAACTGCAGCGCCATTTTCGGAGATTCTCGGCATTTAAGAGACGTCGGATCGAGTCGATTTTAATTTTGTGGGAGACCTCAGTAAGGAGATCCTCGCGTGTAATCCGAGGGTTCTCATGAATAGCGTCAAGAAGACGTACTTTATCGGCTTCATTTAGCTTTTTGGCCGGCCCGATCGAGGCTTCGAGACGCCGGCACGCCTTTCTTGCTCTTTCTTAATAGTATAGCGTATTGTGGAGAGAGAAATCCATGGATATCTCTTATGGATTCGCTTATAACCCCACTGGACGGCCGAATGAAGCTCGCAGATCCTTTCACGGAGTGCCGGTGTGAGTTCTGAACGTGAAGGCATTATTAAATGGCCTATAGCAAGAGGTTTGCTTAATAAAAAGGCGAAGAAAATGAGAAGATGGTAAAAAAAACTGGCCGAAAAGGCGACACTTACGCGCTATATTAGACCTAACTAGCGTGTTTAGGCTAGGCGGTGTAGGCAATAATAAAAGGCGGTATAGGAGTGGGTCCATAGGGGTGTTAAAACTTTTGCTGCGTCACTGTATCTTGCCATATAGCCGTGTCACTGGACCGCCCCCCTATGCCAGTGCTGCTTCGTCGTCATTCTGGCTGTCTGCTGCTCTCTCCTTGCCATTTGCCTGTCATTCCGCCTCGCCTACGTACCGTACTCTACATCACTACTTTCGCCTGCCTCCAGCACTTTATTTTATTTCTATGCTTATATTCTACAATTGAAGGCCCTCCACTCACGCTGGCTTATTCTGTACACTATTGGATAGCATAGTTCTACAATTTGGCCTCAACATGTTGTCGTGATGATCTTCAAATCGACCCTCCAAACAAGAGGATCGATCGCCTTCCGAGACATCCATTCCTCGGAGACATGGAGGTCGAGTCTCCCGGCAACCGTAACAAATACATGTATAGTGAAGTTATTGGGAGATCAATATTGAAGAAAAGACGAAGCAAAGCCGAAACAAACAGGTGTCACTGATATTTTTGATCCAGACTACCAAGCGAAGGGCTTCATCTACGTAATCACTTACATTTGGCGCCTTTCCTAAGTGAGGTATGACACGTAACGGCGGTCGGGGACCTGGACTCGGAGACCGGGGACTACGGGGACCACGGGGGCCACTTAGAAAATGTGACATGGGGGTAATACAGAGAGGGACCTGAGCTATGGATTAGAAGCCGGACGATCCTTCTCGCAGAAGACCGGGAGAGCCCGTGGCGGTCCCACCGCGGCGATGAGCAGTTGTGGTTGGCTGATCGGGGCGAATCGATAGGGAATGGTTCGTATTTATGGTATTGTAAACTTCCTCCGTAGCGCTTTGCGCCATACAAGAGGTCGTACTGGGTACCTCTGTAACAAACTAAAATAATGTGGTCCCCGAATCTAGTAAGTTAAGTTTTTGTTATAGCCCTGGTATACAGTCCAAGTCCCGATTTCTGGGGGATTGGACATGGTGATTCAGACTAGACTACGCATAATTGGTTGCCAATCGATGAGATGCGACATGCAAACAAGAGTCGCATGTCAATCCACGTGGCATTGATGAACTTCCCGGCGAGTCATGACTGCGTCGGCCCTAAAACCAGGGCAAACCGTAGCCTCTGCTTGTCCTTTGGAATATTCCAGAATGTACAACTATCGTAATACCATCACTCTTAATCCTGTTAGTGTTTCAATCCTGGCGAATGGCTAAAATATGGCTGATAATTGATAATACATATCTAAACAACCTGTTTTGTTTTTCTCGCTTTCATACGCACAGCCTCAGAAACCGGGCGCAGTAGGCTCAGTGCAAACTGCTTTCATATGAGCTTTGAGATACCGAATTTGGTTTAGCTGATTTACACGTCATCGTTTCAAACGTTCCTGGGGTAGAAAGGGGAAGCCCCTTTTCCGCTTTAGGGGGCGGGTCCGGTGTGATAGGGTTTACAGGGCGCAGTGGTAAAAGCACCCGGCGCCAATTAAAAATGAAGATCGCCCACCTAACCAATGGTCCACCCGGGCGCAGAGTTTGTTTGCCCAGGCAAAAAGATAAGGGTCAAACAAGGTGAAACATTGTACGGAGTAAATCGACCGCATTGGCCTCTTGCAATTGAGCCCCAGGCATATTTTATCACGTAACCTTGAAATGTTCGGCAGACCTGCGTGTCCGTTTCCTGATGTTAATTGGTTAGCTGACACGTGTAAAAAAACATTCCCTCGCCCTCAGCAATCATTGAAAAGCCAGGCAATGAATGCGACCGCGATCAATGAATACATGCGGCAGAATATTGTGTAAGTTTGCTCAGCCCTGGAGAGATCTTGAAGATTCATAGAAACGATACATTAGACTCGATCTCTGGAGGTGCTCGGCAGCGATCGACCCCAGTAGTTCCGCTTCCCGCTTTCCACCTAAAAGCCTTACCTGGACTATGTGGATTCATCGACCGTAGCTGAAGTGTTTCATACAGGTCAACAAACTCAAAACTGGCCCTCATTTCCCCTATTAGTCAAGTGATCAACAAGTCCTCCACGTGGACTGAAATATCTGAATTCTATTTTTTGTACTCCACACTTGCCGGGAATGCTTGTTGAAGACATGCGGCCGGACTGGCTTGGATCCATTCGGTAGTGACTTGCGTTGAGGCTTGAGGAACCCTTGTCAAAGGACAACATGCGTCCGCCATCATGTTCCAGACTCGGCTTCTTGATATTTGAAGGGGCTCATTTACGATGCCAAGCAGCGCAGGGTGACGTGTCTTGCTAGTTTGATAGGACTGAAAACCCCTGAACACACTAGAAGAATACGATAGACATCTTGGTGACCTTCCAGAAAGAGCAGGCTCCGTGCCTGATGCCTGCGTGACGCACTGACCAAACACCTGAGGACAAACACCCAGTTGCATTCGAGTCGAGGTGACAAAAATGGAAATGCAGACCACACGTCCTTCATCTCATGCATCGGGATTATTCCCCTACGTACACTGCTTGGCTTTGCACGGTCCAGAATTTCTCACATAAATATCTGCGTGGCCCTGAACCTTTCTCGCCAGTATACCAGATCTCATTCTTTACGTTCTTCTGTATGTTGATGAGCCCCATGTCCAATTCATATCACATCTCTAATGATAAACTTTGAAACAGTGCGATTGAGTGCCATTTTACTTCCTACATTCAGCAGCGTCAGCGAAACTTCTTTCCTGGACGGGACTTCTCTTCCAACTTGCATTCATCTGCTTCGTTCCCACGACGACGCGAGCTCCATTTACAATGGATAGACCGGGTGAACTTCCCCGTCGCCAAGACTTTCGCGTTGGCTGGATTGCAGCACTCCAAAAGGAGTACCTCGCGGCACGACAAGTGCTAGATGTGCATTATGAAGACTATGAAGTCAGTCGACATGCGAGTGATGTGAATCACTACACATTCGGGCGGATTGGGAAGCACTATATTGTCATTGCAAACCTTCCCACCGGTGTGATCGGAACACATTCTGCCTCTGCTGTCGCAAATGGCTTGACGAACACCTTTCCTTTGATTCGATTTGCACTCATGGTTGGGATTGCGGGAGGCGCTCCAACCGAAAAGAACGATGTCAGACTCGGCGATGTCATCATCGGAACCAGAATGGTCCCGTACTCCTTTATCAGGCAACATCACGATAGGCGGGAGAACATTGGAGATATCATCGTCTCTTCCCGTGATCTATTGTCAACAACAAACGCCGTCCAAGCAAAGATCACAGAGGGTACCGTGGAGTTGGACAACATTATCACTTCCAGGTTCAATAAAACGGAAGCAATCATAGAGAGTTTCAAGCGCCCGGACGCTGGCTCTGATCGTCTCTACCAGTCGGACTACATCCATGCCAAGTCATGTGACTGCCTCGATGCTCATTCAAACTACCCCGATACCCAAGTTCAAAGAGAGGAGCGCAAGCTTTACGAAAAGATCAAAGTCCACTACGGCCCGATTGGGTCAGCAGACATTGTGCTCAGAGACGCCAATGAACGTGACAGATTGTCTGAAAAATTCAATCTATTAGGTTTCGAAATGGAGTCAGCTGGGATCTGTTTAGACAAACTACCGATCCTCCCAGTCCGAGGCATTTGTGACTACGCCGATTCACACAAGAGCAAACAATGGCAAGGTTATGCCGCTGCCGTGGCCGCCGTCTACGCTCGATGTCTTTTGCAAAGTGTCTCTTCCGGAGAGTTGTTTGAGGCAAATAATCCAGTCAATGCAGAGGATCTCACGAAAGAAATCGAGCTCCTAGTCACAACAGTGACTAAAATGACGTCTACTCGTCTCGAAGAACAGTTACAAAGACATGAATCTAAGTTGGAAGAACACGACAAGATATATCACAACGCCAGCCAAACAATGAAAGAGGTGCGCGAGATGATAAAAATGATGTGGATTGTTTTTGAAAATTCCGCTCAAGTCAATTCCAAAACCTTCAATGATCTGGATCGCCAAACGAGAGACAACACAGTAGCAATTCAATCAGCACATCTCAAGATTGAAGAAGGACAAAAACAGCTTCAGAAGATTCTCGATAAGATGCAAGACCACATTCAAAGACAACAAGAGATCAGCTCACCCGAGCAAAGGCCAAAATGGGAAGTTCTACAAGCTGAGGCCGAAAAAGAAAATACCTCTTTGGAAGAGGTTACTAAGAAGACCGAAGCAGCCCTGGGTTCTGCAGTGATTGTCTTTGATCAGCTTAGCACCGTCACTAGGAACCCGAAGTTTGAAAAGGCTAGTGGGGTCGCAAAGTTACCCAGTCAGTTTAAAGCTTTGGGGAAGGATTTGATTAGTTTTAGAACTAAGAAACCTCCGTCCACCAAAGGGCATGCGGACAGAAGGGTTGAACGCCATCAGACTCAAATATCAACTGGATCAAGCTCGAAGTATTCAGGGAATCCCCAACGAGTCATTCGCAAGCTACCACCACGCCCTGAATTCCAAAAATGGAATGGGGGAAATCAGCAAAAGGGATCAGGTTGTCAGCCTGTGACAACTATACCAGCATCATCTTTGATTCCACTGCGAAGGGCAAGTAACCAAAAATTGCAGGAAACAAAATGCCGTCAGTCTTCCACGCATGAATCAGCAGGTCCGCCCTTACCCCCACGAACCAAAACTGTAGCGACATCAGGGCCATCCGGGCGCCTGTCTCAAGAAAGTTCAAACATTTTGGCAAGCGTGAACAACATTGTTTTAGCGTCGACAACTGTTCCAAAACTACCACCTCGACCGGCGAAAGCCGTCCAAGTTGAAGTTTCAGCCGATTTGTTGCACCAGAGATCAAACGTTCGAGAGCAGCTCATAGCGGAGCTAGCTGATGATGTTGTGGGAAGGGACAAACCATCCCTGTCACCTCGGCCACGGCCAGCAGGGAATCAGAAATCATGCAGTCCAGTTTCAGTAAGTTTGGTGATCAGTAATTACAATTCTCAATTTTAGAAGATACTAACCCGATGGGTGCGACTAGTCTCCCGATAGCCCAGGTGTTGTCTTAGGCGACAGTCCATGCAAATTGAGTCTCCCAACATTCCGTCCAGTGGCAGGTTCCAACGCAAAGATAAGACCGACCCGGCCTTCAAAGCCAGAGCACTTGATTTCCTTCAAACCCAATATCACGAAAGTTACAGCATGAGGTTGCAAAGGCTCGGACTTTCAAATGAATAGAGAGGAGGATTCTGATGTAATGGATCTGGGTAGCCAAGGAAATGAGGGTGCTTTTGGGGGGTGGTGACGTGGCGGGCGTTTGAGTTGTTGGCTATACATTATTCTGTCATTGGTCTTTGGCCAACACGAAATATAATGCTTTTCTTAGCATGATCACATTCCTAGTTTCCGATTTGACAACCTGCTTTTTCAGACTCGCAGTGCTCGCAATCACCGCTGCGATTGATTTCCAAAGGAGTGACCGTGAAGCGACAAAGCTTCTGAAAAAAGAGGCCGGTCACCTTTACCGGGACTGGGAAGCAAAGAATTCAATTTTAGTGACATGGCAAATGTCATTTGATTATCTACGCCAAACAAAGCCATCTGCTGTGGAGCTGCTTTCTCTCATGAGCTTTTTCGATCGGCAAGGGATACCAGAGAACCTTATCCGGCATCAGCCTAAGGCCAACTACATATCAAGCTCACGACTTCTAAGTGACTCCAGTGACGGTGAGACATCTGAATCTGATTTAGGTCACGATTTTGAAGATGACGTCGCAACACTGAGGGCCTATTCATTTATATCTGTCAGTTGAGAACAGCACTATCTTTACGGTACATCGGCTGGTCCAACTGACAACGCGCGCGTGGCTGAAATCTCATGGACAAATAGACCAATGGAAGGATAAATTCATTAGTATCCTGTGCAACGAGTTTCCCACCGGTGAATACGAAAACTAGGAGAGGTGCAGGCCACTTTTTCCTCACGTCAAATCCGCAATGTCACAGCGGCCAGCATCACGTCAGTTAAAATTTCAGACATTATATTTATAATTGGAGTTCGCGGTTTGGAGTTCCTGGTTGGGAGTTTGCAGTTCTGAATAGTAAGACCTCGCCTCCACTAGGCATCTTATGCAACATTTAAGAGCCAATCATACCCGAAATGGCCGAAGTGTATTCAGGACCTGATAGCTCAATCAGGGACTATCAGCATTAAGCAAGCATGTTCCTGACTCCGTGGTTGGGGAGCTGTGGCCACAAGGCTACGGCTGTAGGCCCTGTGACCCAGAACAGTTAGCCCAAGGCCAAGCACTGAAGGCCGTGGACGGAGATCCACATTAGACGTACGTACACAGCTCCCAGTCCAGGTGGGCTTTCAAACAGTCAACTGGCGGCCACCCAGGCTTGGTAACCATAAGTGCGTCAGGTCTTCTGACTGCAGTCTATGTGGGACACATGTCTTTTGATCTGGGCTGCTCATGACGAGTAGCCACTCTCAGGATCATTGGTAGGAAGCAGCCTTTTCACCCCTGGCGCTTTGCAGGCTGATCATGATCACTATTAGCTCTGAAAGATCCCAGGCCTGGATTATGTCTCCCAAGGCCGGCTTCGTGTTCCCAGAGCAGAGACCTAGAGCTCGCAGGCACGATATTGCTTGGTCTGAGGAGTTCCAATCACTTGCAGAGTTATCCTAGACTTTTCTACTGTAACCTTATCATGGGTAGAAGGCGGTGACAATTCTTGCGGGCAGAATACACTAGTGGGTCGCCTGGCTCGTCACCCAGTGGTCTGGGGGATCGAAAGCCACTCCAGACTCATGTGGCCATAGAATTTATTGAAACCTATTAGGCCAAGGTTAGGGGTGTTCCCGATACGATATCGGCAGGATTTCTCCATATCGGGTATCGTATCGGCTACTACAAATAGCTTCAAAAAATTATCGGTTATCGTATCGGCTCACAAAATTGTCTACCGATAATTAACGGCCGATAATATCGGTTTTCAGCCGATATTACTTGTATAATTAATAGGTACTACCATGAAAATTTTTCTAAAATCCTGCTGCCTTCCAGGTTCCAACTACACACCCGCTACCCCCCTACTTCCAACTTCCAACTTCCAAGCATCCTGATTACTCTCATCATTATGGCATACAAAGGCAATGAGGACCTGCAAATGACTACACGAAGGCAGGCACGAGTTGACTATGAATTGCTTAATGGTGGCCCTGATTCCCCTGAAGGACTTCTACCATCAGACCAAATCACTGAGTCTGATATATCTCAGTTTTTTTCACAATCGCCATGGCAATTCAATTCTCCCTCTACCGATCAAGAATCTCTAGCCTTCTCAGAGATTTCACCTCATGAATCTGCCTCACAAACCTTTACCCGGAAGATCAAGAAACCTCGCCCAGCACCGACTACCGATTGGATTTGGGATTACTTCTCTACAACTGAGGTATCCCGTGAGTGGAAAGTCCTCCGTACAGGGAAACCAAGGACTGTCGACATGGATATCCAATGTACAGTCATCGATGAAAAAACTGGCCTACAATGTAGTTGGAAAACCTCGGAATCACAAAGGCAGTCATCAACCTCGAATATGCAGCGTCATCTTGAGAGAAAACACTCAGTTCTTCCACCTCAAAGTTCAAATTCAAAGCAAAAAATCCAAGATATCCGCCAAGTCTTCAAAAAACAAGGGAACCTCTCAATCCAAGAGCATCTTGAACGCAACATCCTTCGATGGGTTATTCAAGACAAGCAAGCTTTTCTAGTCATTGAATCTCAGGCTTTTCAGCAAATCTTTGAAGATATTCCAGGAATCACTCTACCATTCACATCTCGATCAACTGTGAGTCGGCGATTACAAGAGCAATTCAAAACCCAACGATCAATGTTGAAGGAGGACTTAGCTACTACATGCAAAACAATTGCATTATCTCTTGATATATGGACAAGTCAGAATCACTATCCTATCCTTGGTATCATTGGCCACTGGCTTACAGAGGGTTTTCACTATCGTGAAGAGACTCTAGAGTTCTGTGAAATCTTTGGACCTCATACAGGGGCGAATATTGCTACTGTGGTTCACAAGGCCTTAGTGGAATTGGATCTCACGTCAAAGTTGACGACAATTACTGGGGATAATGCCTCAAATGTTCAAGAGATGGTTTCTGAGTTATGGTATCTTTTGGAACAGAATCAGAATTTTTTACAACCAATTCGATTTTCTGGACCTAATAGCTATGTTCGCTGTCTGGCTCATATCTTGAACCTCATTGTGAAAGATATTCTTCGTTCCTTGAAAGCTGGAAGTGTTTCAGAGGCCAATTCGATCTGTGATAATCTACAATCCAGGAATTCCCAATCGAGCTCATCATCAACCTCTCCATCGATCTCATCTCAATCAGCATTAGCTAAACTCCGGATTCTTGCTATTTGGATTTCTCGCAGTCCTCAACGGAGGCAAGACTGGAAGTCAATCTGTGATGAGATGAAGCTCGATGATAAATTCATCGAGTATGATGTAGAAACACGGTGGAATTCTACCTTTCGAATGCTTAATGATGGGATACAAGCTCGACCTCAGATTAATCGACTCTGTGCTGTACAGGGTGAAATTCCTCCCTTTACCAATGCAGAATGGGAACGACTTAGTCAGATTCATAAAGCTCTCAAAACCTTTAATGACTTGACGCACTTGGTATCTATATCAAGGCCACAAATCAGTCTCACTGTCCCAGTTTACTATAAGCTTCATGATCTTTTACGGGATGATGCCTTAGTGGGATATGATGAGGATATTGCTAATGCAATAAGGGCAGGCATGAAGAAGTACCAAAAGTACTATGACTTCATGGATAACTCTGAAGCTTATTATACGGCATTAATGCTTGATCCTCAGCTCAAAGGTGATCTCATACTTCATGAGATGGTAGATCAAGAGGCTGCCCAATTGATTATACGGGAGACTCGTCGGATGCTCCATAAGAGATATCCACCACTTCCACAATCAATTCCATCCTCGCTCCCACAGACAAATTTAGACTCGAATCCACAGTCAATTCTAGACTTGACTCAGGAAGATTCTCTCAATCGCAAAACAATGCGGTTATGGATGCTGAAAAAGCTACAGCCTCAGGAATATCAATTTGTTTCTGATATTGATCAGTACTTTGATAGTCCTCGGGTTACTATCACAGGTGCAGAGGATCCAGACTGGCTCTGCAATTGGTGGCGTACCCATAAGGGCGAATACCCTCAAATGGCAGAGGCTGCAAGGGAATTTCTTGCGATCCCAGCTTCAGAGGTATCAGTTGAGAGATTATTTAGTGGAGGGAGAGATCTTTTGGGAGTTCGAAGGCATAGTTTAGGGGCAGATACTATGAGGATGTTGATGCTGATGAAAGATATTGTTTAGTTAACTAGTTGAATTTATTGCTTAGTTTGGTTAGTTCGTTGAATGAATTTATTAATTGATTAGCTACAGTTGGTTATGTTGTGATCTGAAGCCCGCAAAGCACTGCTAATGCTTGGCTGAGCATAGCTATAGAAAGCTTCAGAGCACTTGATTGAATGCATCAAGCTCCGAACTCGGAGGGTCATACGATGCGTTGGTTTTCGGGAAAATGCTGCCGGCATTAATCATGCCATGTGCAGGAATACCCTCAGCAGGTGTACTTCACCATTATAAATAGCTATAGAGAAGCCTCCTTTTGGGAGGCAGACTTAAATCATCTCGTTTCACTGCCCATTGCTCATGCATAGTGCTTCTCAGACCATTGTAAATAACAACATATAGTTGTTGTATCCTGTATATCGCCAAAAGAGTTGATTTCCCAACTAGACTAAAATACGAATCCGCACCCAGACTAGTAGGATATGGTTTATAATCCAACTAAAAGCGAGAGGTCAGGGTAAATGATATCATCCATCCATCCATACTGTATGGTCTAGTGAAGGCATTTCTGCTTCTTCAAACTTGTCCATACATTGAGATACTGCAGCCAACGATGCTGAGCCACCTTCTTCTTGTGGATCTTCCGGGGTTCCGGACCCAGTAGATGCCAGACTCTGCGTATGACCTTGGAATAGATTGTTTCCACTAGGAAGCAAGTCCGATGCAGCACTCTACAGAGGCCAATCTTCGGTATGGTTCTCAGTGGGTAGCAAATGACCCAGGAAAGCAGTATCCATCAAGTCGAAGTCATCGTTTCCCCGTTGGTAGGCATACAATGTTGTGTTGGAAGGAAGTGCGGCACCTCCCTCTGCGTCGAAGCTCATTGGAAAATCAGTTGTTTCAGATTGGTCAAAATGACGGGTTTGATCGGTCGGAAAGTCAAGAGCAAAATTCGAAATCCACCCCTCGTCATCTTCATCCTGGCCAGGAAGACTGAGTTCCATATTCATTGATAGAAGCGCGGATGGAGACTGCAGAGTAGGTACGATATAGGACAGTCAGATATATAAGAGACAAGAGGAAGGTTTGCTTGGCTGAGTCATGCCAGCATGGATCACTTTCGTGACCCAGGGGAAGACCAATTTGAAAATTGGGCAACGGCTTCAGGCAATCACTTCAGGCGCTCGATATCAATATAAGTTAGTTACGCTAATAACTTGCATAGGCATGTGTGCTCGCTCATCATCATTCACCGCCACTTGTTTGACGATGTAGCTAAATAAGAACTGAAAGAACTGAAATAATGAGCAGTTAGGCTAGTCCACATGTCCGCTACTTCACCGCTGGTTGTGTGGGCCATTTGCTTATCCTCGGCTATTGGGACAAGTATGCGGTCTGTGGCAACATGTTGATAGATCATCTGCAACTACCAACGCATGGCACCTTTTACGAGCTGACAACAGCACAATGCATTCCCCTAGCTAATAAGATGCGAAGCATTTATAGAATGTGTTGGCATTCTAAAGGGTTACTGCTACATATTCTTATTGAACTACAATATTGGTTGGTGCAAATTGAATTATAGCAGCCGCTGATGTAACCATTTCACCGTCTAGTCGACCTGTACCGGCAGAGCCCGGACGGCTACGCTCCGCGCATATCTCAGGTAACAATCTAAAGCAAAATCTATCGCTTTTCCTTGGATTAAAAGGCCTTCACAACCACGCCTAGCTCTGATTCCCAGGTCGATACTCATGCTACTTGATTGCCTACTTAAATTCATCGCTATGGTGGCTCCCCAAGGTCCAAGTAATCAAGATGCCCCCATCAGTGAGTGTTATATTCTTCTCACTTTGTGAATGGAATTTCCGCTAATAAGAGCCATAGACGAGCTCGTGGGAAAACTGATGTTCCGCGAATACGTCACGGCCGTTCTAGCCAGATCAAACAAATCCTTTCAATTACTCCTTAGTTCCTTAGTCTTCGGCTCAACTGAAACGTCTGTGCTGAAACTGACTTAATAGGAGACCGAAGTCATCCAATTTATTATGTCTTATGACTATCTTGCAGCAATGCAGACTCTAAAAGCGGCGCGCATCGCTCCCTTTCACAATCATGAGACAGACCCGCAAAGCGCCGTGTTCCGGGTACTTGGCTTTGCTTATCGCTCTCTGTCGCACTCACAGGCGTATGCGCTGATGTACAGCCTACTTCAGCTCAGTCACATAGGATGCCACATGGAGCCTCATATCAGTACGTTGGCTTCATTCATCACCGGAACCCCACAATTGCACCCACCTCAGAGTAGCCGGACTATAGAAGTAAACACGCAATCTCACTCCTACGGAGAAGAGGATCTATCAAAGTATACGTCTGCGTTGAATGAAAAAGGACAATTAGACGGGAAGGCACTCAAACGTATATATTCAACAGTCAGAGGGGATCCTCCTCAGTTCATTGCGAAAATTCATTTTGGGGACTTTTATTCATTTGGGGTCGGACGAAAGAAGATTGCTGGCCATTTGGCTGCAAAGGATCTTTGCCTTCGAATAGGAATTTCAGTTGGAAGGTGACAGTAAAACGATCTAAAACTTTTCGTTCGGTTCAAATTGCACCATATGTTCATACGCCTTCAAGAAGGTCGCAAGTCCATCCAGGACTGTTAGCATGATTTTTGCAAGGTTTACTGCCTGAAAATTCAAGTCAAGGACTTCACCAGCTATGCCAAAGCTATTCTAGTGCCTGGATAAGCATATGTATTTTTCGATAATCTTCGCTGGCGAACAGGGGTCTTTTTTTAGAAAAAAAAAGAAAGAAAAAAAAAACTTTATTACTGTTGAGAGACTTCTGGCCCTAGTTTAGGAGATGCTTCTTCTTTGTGCTTCTTCGTAGTAACAAGAGCCTCATAGGAGACTGTAGCATTAACGTGTCATGAAGCACCACGGCAGCCTACAAATGACTATAAGCAGCAGAGTACCGTGAGGTTCTTCTCGGTTTTAAACCGGTTCATTGAATACAATCTTATGCGAACCTTAATTGCACCCTACTTGATATTCTTCAACAAAATAAGATTGGAAAGCGTCTTTATTATCATGGCTGACCATGCATCAAATAACCGAGCATTAGCTGATACATGATAGCAAGCAACGTCAGAACATGCCACTCTTATTAGATCCCAAGGCTTGCGCATGCGCTTCAGCTAAGCTTTAACAGGCTTCTTAGAAATACTTCCCACGAAATGAGTCAACGGAGACATGATGGCCAGCGAAGGGACCCAGCAGCGCTTGCATATTAACAAAGCATGACATTGCTATGTTGAAGGTATATACTTTTTCAATCATCGATTGTAATACAATAATTATAGCCCCTACATTCGTAGCCTTCCTATGTATGAGAATACATTCTACATTCTACAATGTGAACCGAAGAAGCTTATGCCTCTTGGAATTGTCCAAGATGCGCTGAAATTCTACTTTACTATGCGGCTTTCAAAACGCCCTCGATCGTGCTTCCAGCCATCTGTGAGGGCTATGAGCGGTGTGATAGATCGGTGTGATAAAGAATCTGGCGACTGAAAACGGAGAATGGAGTCATTTTGGCTATCTCAGCAAACCTCCAGCTCAAGACCCCTTTCCTCTTCACTTCCACTTCAAGGATTCGGGTATATCGAACTCAAAAAAGCCCACTATTAGTGGAGAGATCATTTCAGCTTAGGCGACTCGACAGAGACGCCGGTGGAGAGATCACCTGTTCTTATACCACGGATTTCGAAGGCACAACTAGATATGAGCGTCCCGAAGTCTTGACCTTAGCGTGCAACTACACGGCCAGCCTCTCGGGCACTACTCTCCACCGACTTAGCGGCATGCAACGACAATTGATTCAAGGGATGCAATATCTTACCGGTGGCTTGGACCTGGATGGGGTAAAACAAAGTTCGCATTTCTAGACAATAGCCGACTCTAAATTGAGAATTGCTCCGGAAGCTTTCAGTGTACCTATTTTCTCGGGAATCTTCTTGATCGAATGAGAAGGGGTTTCAGATGACTTATGGTCAAAAAGCTGAGACCCAGTTTAATTGGAATTGCAGCCTAGATTAGATTAGATAGCAATTGAAGCATTACTGGGCTCGCTGTGAACCAGGAAACTGGCTGAAATGATTGCTTGTGGTATTCGAGCTGTCTGGACGGAAAGACTCTGCCGACCATGAAGCTGCCTTAGCGTTACGACGATCACGCTTAGGTTCATGATATAGGACGAGGCGAGTCTATACTCTCTCGTTGGTTGTACTAAATACCTGACAAAGGTTTTTTTTTCCCTGTGTTCTCATTGCACAAGAGTTTGCTGTGTGGAATTTCAGGCCAGTTCTATGACTACAGATTTTACCGAGCCCAGCATCCAAAGTAATGTTACCGTGTATAATGCATGCAATGTCTTCATGAACGAGCCATACTCATTTCCTCGAGGACACGTAATTATATGTGCCCTATTCGTGAAGGCCAGTGCTGTTGAGACGCATGACGGAAAAATCTCTACCTACATGGCGTCAAGGTTGAAAATAATGAGCTCATTCAGAAAAGCGACGAATCATATTAATAGCACAATCTGTTTAATGAAAATGACTCTCAAAAAGAATATCCGTGGTTCACATTAGTATCCTTATGACTTTGTCTTGCGAACGCAAATGCGAATAAAAAAGCTCGACATTCGGGGATGTTCCCCACCTTGCCAGCCTCCTGCATCGTGGGCCTCCTGCACCGTGGGCCTCCCGCACCGTGGGCCTCCCGCATTTTCTTCTGAGGTGGATAAAATACCGCAGTATTATTCACTGGCTAAATATGCCTTTTCTATGGTGTATGCATGGAAGTTGCTTGGGCATATATGGGGAACTTGGAGCCTTACCTTGTATGAACGCTCTCTCTGTAAGGAGAACAAAACTGTAAACATTGACAAAGCCCAGTCCGTGCTCAGCGGACTCTGATTTATTATAAAACGAAACACAAGCTCATTGAATTCGAAAGAAACAAAAGCTGAACAATTATTACTTCCATAGCAATAACTTTTTCTGGTCGCTATAACTAATATGCATTCTCTTCAAAGGATGCCTCCAGAGGCAACCTTCTACCTAATTCATCACGTTTTCCTCCCTCCGCGGATCCCGCAGGCAGAGGATTATGATTTTGAACACGAACAGTTCCTTCTAGACAAGGTCATTGAAGCTCTGCGTAGGTTTAGGGACTTTTTCACTGACTCAAATTTTGATGTCCTGAATACGACAATCACGATGATCGTTCGTCTTAAGAGCATATGTACCTCTGATGGCGATGTGAGTCAATTTGAGCTCAATAGGGTCCTGGAAAATTTGAGAGATGAAGGTGAGTGATGACATACCCCTAGTAATGTATATATCCTGACTGAGACTCAGGTGGTTTTCTGCCTATTTATGTCCGAGAGCAGAACGCTGGGATTCTCTTCAGTCGATGCAGGGATAAGATACACGTGGAGTCTTTTGAATTGTCACCCCGCAACAAATCCGTAACGATGACTGTGGGGCGTCTTGTGCGTGTTTTCCCCGGTCCTGGGATCGCTTTGAACTTGGCAGATTTCAATGAGCTGGGTCTGGGGGGAGCAGTTGCCCAGACAATCACACGCATGAGCCATCAGCCTGCTGCAGGTATGAAACAGAAAGTAAAGAAGGCTCAACAAGAGCACGACGAGGACAGGGACACCACACATCCCAAGATGGTGACGGAGTTGCTCATGGCGACTCTTCGTCCTGTATCCACAGATGTCAGCGCAATTCAAGTCCGAAAGAATACTCGCGAGGAAGTCATGTGGCGTGACAGTCGATCCCCATGGCGACGATCTGCTTTATGGCTTCTGATGCGCGTGACCCTTCAATTGGTATTCCGCAGGCTGTCAGATGAAGTCAAGCTGGATGATCTGTACAAACAATTCATGGTTTTTTTCATGAGCTTTGTCGTCGATAAAACTTCGGTAGCCTTACCCAACGAGGCTCTCTTCTGTATGAATGCTAAGATTGTTCGTCGACTGTTGAAACTCGAGTTGTCGAATGCGCCTGCCTGGTTTGCTTCCGTTCAGAATGTGTTACAGCGGTCGAACGGAAGAATTCAAGGCCAGTGGAAACAAATCATGAGGAAGAGTTCTCGTGTGATCGACACATCTTCTTTATTGGCTTTGAACTTTTCCCATGACATCGAGTGCGCGCTCCCTGATCTCGATCGATACCTCGAAGGAATTGGACGACGAGGCCACGGCCGTGCTCGTGAAGAAGACTTTCTACCACCATCCAAACTTCATAGGTACCAGCGGGTACAACTTCCAGATTGTCTGGAGTTTCCCGATTCCGATTATCAGTGGTACAACCTTGCTGCTTTTGAGGAATGGGTTGCTCTACATCTCAATGCATGGATAGAGTATCACAAGAAAGAAGAGACAGCCTGTGGTAAACTGGGTCAGTTGATCGCTCGGTACCATCAAGTAGCCTCCTCATCGTATAAGGACAACCCAGAGGCAGTATCAGTCATGTTGCTCACTCTCCTAGAGCTCTGGGTGGCATGTGACAAATCCGCCATCCAGCTTTATGGCGATCTGGGAAAATATGACGCCTGCATACCAGTCGGCTGTTTTCAATCACTTTTGCTCCCTTTGAAGTCACAAATGGCGAGATTGGCTTGTGCTGAAAAATATCTGAGTGAGCGTCAGCGCATGTTCGAATACCATGGATCTGGCATTTTTCACGACTATGGTACTCCATCGTGCTTCTCTGTCCAATATTTCAACCAGTCCGTCGAACACCAAACTCTACTCAGGGCCATTGAGGACAACGCAAACAATGAGAGAATACGAAAACAGGCAGAGCTTCGAGAGAAACAGCAAAACTATAGACACCTGATGGATTTACTCTCTCAAACAGTATGCCGGTATGACGAGGTGATTTTGGATGCAAGGGCTGGGTTCCGAGAGTCTCGCCATAGCAATTCTTGCCCTTGCCATCAATACAGAAGAACGGCAGAGTCGATTAATATCAGTATACACGAGTGGCCTTTGCCGAACAACCCTTTGCAAGCCAAGTCCACTGTGTTCGAACTCAAGGTGCCTAAGTCATTCGCGAGTTGGCGGGACACAACGTTGTTCTTCCTGTATAACTGCCTAGGTGTTGAATATGCGGCGAAGGAGCGACCACGAGCAGAGTATCGGCCGCAGACATATCCAGGCCTCTCGTCGTTTTTCATCTCCCACGGCGGGCAGCCGCGGATTGGGCTTCTTTCGCAAAGCAAGCCTCACCAACGGACTCATCGCCGCAACAGACTGATTGTCAATGTGACTGAAAATGACATTTTTCTAAACAACGGTCTACATTTCCAATACTTTGACAATGCCGTTCAATGCTTTGTGGGCACATTCAAAAGGACGCTTCGGGCCGAGAACTCCTGCGTGTATATGCTCCCGCAACAATGCTCAGTGCTGCAGCAATTCATATTTCGACCCGCCCAAGAGCCACATGGTCCTGCACCAAATTCGGTGATAGCGACACAATCCCTTGCTCCAACAAATATGTCAACGGAAGAATACAAAGCGCTAGCAACAATGCCCCTTGGACTTGACATTCAGTGGCAAAACATTCTTGTGGAATTGGCCGCGCCATCGGTGGACATGAAGAAGGTGGAGACAGCAATTTTCATCTCTCAAATCATCCACCAGACTGGGCCCCCGAAGCCGGACACGTGTTTGCGACAAGGCCATGTGATCTTGGATGACCATAACTTCCTGGTTGCGATCCTCGCCCGTGTGAAGGAGGTGACCGAGAGAATCAAGGAGAATTGGGAAATGATCCACGGGCTTAACAATCTCGCCCGTATCGTTCTAAGGATCCCATCTCTCTCTCCATCCCCACAAATCCATGATCTATGTCTTGATTACCTGGCTATGGTGCGTCAGACGGCTTTTCATTGGGTCAAACTCGTCAGAAGGAAGGCGAGTGAGACGGTTGACGACACCCACAAGACCGACCTGATTGCAAGGAGTGTTCATATTGCGCTAGTATGCGTAGAGACATTCAATGCAGAGAATCTTGCTCAGGTGTTCCCAGCCTCGTCGGATATTTCAATCTTTCTACAGTGTTGTATGATTATCTGGAACGGTCGGCACAGTTTTTCAAGGGAAAGAGGCTCACTGGTTTCAATTCTCTATTACCGTTGGCAAGTCCTGAGTTATCGAAGTCACTCATTCCTAGCAAACCACATTGTTCAACATAAGGATCCAGGAATGGACTTCGCGATCCACGAAGCTTGGGCCGCGTACTGTGAAGAATCAACGTGGTCAAAGGTGTCCAATGTGGATTATTGGGTAGTCACGCGATGTGCGCGTCAACCAATGAACAATGTACACATGCTGGTGCATTAACGTATTCGGCATGCGAGCTGGCCGGGTAAGCGAGCTGGCCACCCACCAATTATTACTAGCATTAAATTGTACATTTCAGCACCACAACGTCTTGTAATTGAAAATGAAGCTATTCAGGCCTCTCTGGGCACCTATTTCTCTTATGTCCTACATTTTTACAAAGGCTACACCGCTGCCTTGCTCTCTGAGGAGGCTGAGTAGGTGTTGGCGAAGACCCTCCTTCTCTAGCTGATCCTGCTTCATCAGCTATTTCTTGTCCTGAAACTATCGATAAAGCCTCCAAAACAGTCATGCCACCTTCATGAGCTATTCGCTTCCTTGTACGCTGCTTCTTTCGGGTAGTCTTCGCATTGGCAGCCCGTAATTCGCTGTTTTCCTAACGCATAATAGTAGCGCTATAGATAGCTAAATAGCAGCCTTTTACGATCTGCTCAAAGGCTGCCTCTACCTACGATAGGTTGTCTTATAGCATTTTCTTAATAGATGATGCTTGCCGCCGTATATCCTTCGCTGTATACGGAGTTTTAGGGGTAAAATTAAGGCTCGAATCGCTTCCACGGCTCGGAGGAGGTAGGGTATATTTAGACCTGGCTACGACCCTCCGCATGGGTCCCTACCCCGGACCCTCGAACCTCCCCTCAAGAGGGGAGGTTCCAACCTTCCGACCCTCAACCTACCCTGAGGGTCGTTGAGGTTCACTATGCGGACCCTCGGCGACCCTCAACGACCCGCATTTGCATAAATTTTCGACGCCTTACCTCTTTCGGTTGGATAAAATTGATGATTCATCTCTGTTTTTTACAGCTGTTCCGTCAATTTGTAGATATTTCACTAAATACTCCAACAATATGGTCAATTATAAATAAATATTCATGTAAAAGTAAACCGTAGGCATGGTCACCTACAAACTGCAAGTAATACGCGATGATATCGAAATAGTAGGTGGTCAGTGGCGGTTGTCGACAAAAATGCATGTCAAGTTGTAGATATATATATTGCAGACAGTGTAACCTATGTGTATCTTCATTTGTAGAACCACTGTTTTTTAAAAAACCATTAAAAAGTAGTTTTAATCCCCTCATTTTTACATCATTTAAACTGTTATATCTTCTTCTATCACTTTTTCTTCAAGAATTCAGCACAAATGATCTAGGTATGTCATAAATCCGGTTCAAAGATTGCAATTATTAGACTTGGTCGTTTTGATCAAGACTATTTTCTCAACTTGAGGGTCTCTTTGAGGGTCGATGCGGGTAAGCGAGGGTCTATTTGAGGTTCGTTGAGGTTCATTTATTAGGTTATCCACTACGTTAGCCAATCAGATCTAGCTATGTGGATAGAAAAGATGATAGATCAATTCAAGCATATAGAACAGGGACTAACGGATGCCCCAAGAATATCGCGCATCTTTTTCTACAAATTGAACAGTAAGTTCCTCATTATCTTCCTCCTCAGTCATAGTACTGTCTTCTGGTTACTAAATCTATCATGTCTCAGCTCTCCGACGTCTACGCATCATCTAGCTTCGACGGGGTGCAATTAGACGCGCTACAATACCTTGTTCCTAACGATTCCCTATCCCAACGCGAAAGCCAGAGTCAACTACCCGAAAGTCATTTTGGATCAGTTCCAGACCTTCCAGACCTTCCAACCTATCGATCGCGCGTGGCACCTCAGGCCCCAGACACTCTTACGCGAATCAAACCAGACCGTATCAACGAGTACGTCGTCTTCACAACTACAATGACCGCAGAATTTATTCAGTGGTGGCTTGAAACCGACTTTGGTAAGAAGAAGCGGATCAACTGGGATGTGAACCGTCGTGCAGAGTGCTGGAAAGGGTTTCAACAAGTTGCAAATGCCAAAGATGGGAAGCCAGGCGTTATATGCAAACGGTGCCGTACAATTCTTGAGCATCCAACTACCAACCATACTGGAACCTCATCGATGCAGAAACATCTCGATGGGCTAAGGTGCCGACAGCGAATACCGAAGAAGGGTAATATCCAGCAACTACTTAGTGACGCGGTATATTTAAACCAGCCTACATTCAATATCAATACTAATACTATTTCACAATTTAGGCCGAGAGAAGACCAGCGCCTACCTTTACCCAGCAAATATGGGAGCAGAAGACCCTAAACCTGATTACTGTATCGCATTTACCCTTCCTATTCGTCGAACATCAAGAATTCCATGACCTCCTTTCCTACGCACGGCTAGCACCTACACCACCAAGTGTTCCATCAAGAAAGGTGATTCGCGAGCGCCTTCGGGATTTTGTTATAGAACATCAACAGGAGACACTACAACGGCTTCCATCTAGTGCAAGAATGTCGATTGCGCTTGACTGTTGGACTTCTCCATTCCAGCAAGCATTCATGGCTATCACAGGATACTTCCTAGACCAGGAATGGGAGTATCGCGAGGTTCTCCTTGGGTTTGAGCCAATATCTGGATCTCATACCGGAGTGAACCTCGGTAGGGTTGTTCTCCAGATCCTAGAGAAGCACCAGATCGCTGACCGTATACTGGCGGTGACAACTGATAACGCGTCTAATAATAAGACACTTATCACAGCGGTGAATGATTCGGCTAAGACGCTACAGCAAGAGACAGATTCTACGATTGTCCAAGTGCCCTGCCTTGCGCATGTTATTCAATTAAGTCTAATTGATTTACTCGGTAAAATTAAGGCCTCCCCGAAGAATGACAACGCCGAGACGGAATGGTCTGAAGATCGTGTACGTTCACTTCGTGCGCGCCAGCAGAAACATGAGATCGCCGATACTCTAAATAAGGTAAGCTTAAAGCTTCTATTTACGAATCATGATCTAATAACGCTAATAATCCTTATAGGTTCGCGGTCTCGCAGTTTATATCAACGGAAGCCCTCAACGCAAAGAAGCCTTCTTGAATCTTCAATCTAATAACGCTGGGATAAGGCTTCTCCCAATCCAGGATGTCCGTACACGATGGAATTCGACATTTCTGATGCTCTGACGGGCGAAAAGACTTCATGACACATTCGACAAGTACTGCAAGGACTATACCCAAACCCATTTTGCATTGAGTATCGAGGGGTGGCGACAGATTGACTATCTACTTTGCATTCTCCAGCCCTTTTTTACGCTTACTACGCTAGTTTGTCGTACTAAAGACTCGAGTATCCACCTTGTCTTTAGGATTTATAACAAGCTTTTTGATCATCTTGAAAGATCAATACGTCAGCTGCGTCGAAAGAAAGTTCACTGGAAACAGCTAATGCTTTTCTCCCTTGAGGCTGCGAAGGAGAAACTGAAGAAATACTACGGCGAGACAGATGATATCGAAGGTAACCTCTATGCAATTGGGACGATCCTAGCGCCGTCGAGTAAGATGGAGTTCTTTTCAACAAGTGATTGGGACCTAGATCCTGAGATAGGAAAGGACTATAGAAAGGAATACCGCGAGAGTCTTCAGTCTCTTTTCGAGAGATATAGCCAACGTGTACCATCAGATATGATACAGCCTACTAGCCAGTTATTAATAACTGAATCGGAGCTAGAGAGGGCCCTTGACAACGATTCTTCACCACGATCAATTGCTCCGCAGTACGACGAGCTCACCAAATATCTCCAGAGTGGTAAGTAAGTAAGCCTATTTTATGAGTCATATAACTAACCTCACCTGATTAGATACTATTAAAGGATCCGTTCGGATCTTCTGGAAAGATCATCAGAGAGAATTCCCTGTTCTTGCAAGCATTGCCCGTGATATCATGTCAATTCCAGCTACTGGTGCCGGAGTTGAGCGTCTGTTTAACTCTGCTCGGGATGTGTGCCACTACCGCCGGGGGTCGTTGAACCCAGAGACTATTCGTGATATTATGTTGTACATGTGTACAACAAGATTTGATATTAAGGAGGAGCAGCGGCTGATTCTCCAAGAGTATCTCTTAGACCATGAGATAGCTGCTTCGGCAGAAGCACTTGATGTCCAGACACATACCTTCGAGGCTATCAGTGATGACGAGGAGGAGGATGTTGAGTTGCGTCTTGATACACCGGCTGCTATATCAATTATGCAAACAACCCCGAACGCACCGCCACTCTCAGCAGTCGCCGCTGGAAAGCGGCCTGCGGTCACTTCTAGTGATGAGGAAGATTCTGATGCCGATAGATTTGCGAACCCGGAGGAGAACCTATCATTATCCTTCCCTGATACGCAGCATCGTGTATCAGGTAGGATACGGAAGAAGTCGAGACTACTGGATGGGTATATAGTTTGACTCTTGGCTTGTTAGAACCATGAATAGACACTGTGCTATAGATGTAATGTAAACCATTCAAAATTTAAACCCTTATTCGAGGATGAACCTATGGTATGCACTAAGGAGTGGACATGTAGTATTCCTTCTGTAAGGCCATACAGTGATGAAATTTTAGTTTACAATTACAATGAAATACAGCCTGTTTCTACATAATTTATGCAATTGACGTCCAGTCACGTCTTTTACCTGTTTGTCATGTTTGACGACCCTCAGGGTCCCCGCGGGTAACCCTCATGAGGGTCGGCCTCGGTACGACCCTCCCCGCGGGTCCAGGTTTCGGACCCTGACCCTCCGCATGGGGAGGTGAGGGTCAGGGTCGTGGAGGGTACCCGCGGGTCCTAGCCAGGCCTAGACGAATAGCCCTTTGGTGTTGGTTTTATCGTCCAATCATCAGGCATTTCGTCAATATACCAGCTTTCCTGGTGATACTGAGCTTTCACTAGAAACCACGGCGGCGTCTTCCAATCATCGGCAGCAATGCATTCAATAGCGGTAATACTCTCGCCATGGCCTCCGGTTGCAGTGAAGCTAATAGGTGAAGCAGATACCACTTTTTGAGCCTTTCCTTCGCCGATTCGGAAGCCGGTTTCATCCATATTATAGATGTCCTTCGGTCGAAACCCATACTGCTTAATACACTGCTCTAGGCGGTCATACCACATCTCCGTAAGACCTACGTCCTCGGCGCCCATTCGCTTCGGGTCCTTCGGCTTCTGCTTAATAAAATGGAGGTGGGGTGTAAGCTTTGGCAGTCGCTTAGTGAATGCGAGGCCCCAGCCATGCCAAAGAGGCTTCCGGTCCGGGTTTGATCGATGAATAATGTCATCGGCGCGCTGCTGTATCGATGCTGCCGTCGGGGGCGGCGCCGCAGCTATCCATAAAGACAATCCAGTCAAGCAATGCTTTTTCTTGGACCGAGTCCAATGCCTTATTGGTGGCAGGTCGGCCAATTGCTGACCCGGCACCCGGAATACGGCCTAGCAGGGTCTGGTAACTAACGTCGAATTCCCTTGCCAATGGTTTGATCTTCGGCTCATTACGGTCATGGTAAGCGGCCAATGCATTGGCGATTTTGAGCTCATTTTCATCCGACATGGTAGCGAGAAATGGTCGAAAAATGAGCTATTTCATGGAGATATTACCGGGAAAACGTCATGCTAAGGCCAATATTAGATGCATTGCGTTCTGATTTGCTTACATTAAATAGCTCAGGCAATGCTCTTTTGAATGCAATATTTATGGCAGTAATTTGCTATACAAAAATGCTACGAAAATTGACGTTTTACGAGGTGGGTGAAAAGTATGTTTAGGCACCAAAATAGGGCCCGAAAGTATGGTCTAAAGCCGGAGCCCCAACACCGAAGGTGTCTGGGGCGACTAGCTTAGCTAAGCATCGGAAGGGCCCGAGTAGTGAGAATAGTTATGCTGGTACCAGTCTAGCCTTATTAAACCTAGCGTAATACGAAGTAACGTCGTCTATGCCCAATTAGGCTTTAGTCTATCCAGCGCTCACAAATAGACCTAACGTCGGCCAACTCGTCTTCCTACCCTTCCCTGCCTATAAGGCACTAAAACAAGCTGAATTCTTCCAAATAACATGTTTTCGCTAAACAAGCACCTGTCTCCTCTTTCTGACTAGTCAAGACACGCAAATTGAAGTTGATTGAGTCTCAAAATCGAAAAATAACGCGAAATGACATATACTCTCCAAGTCCTTCCACTCCGCCATCTCTGTCTTATGCTAATTACCCCCTGCTTGCCCTCCAGATCTCCGAAACAGGCCCTGACTCAGTCATTCTCTCCATATCCGACTCTCGCAGCTGGTATCTCCGCCGGGTACGTGGTGGAGAGATCCCTGGCGGCACACGAGCTCGCTTTCGCCGCTGCGGCAGCGGTGCCGGTGGTGCTGGTGGCGGAGTGGCCTCCACAGCTCTCTGCGGTGATAATGACCTGATAATTGCTCCTAGTGATGGGAGAGATGATGGGATAGATGCCTCTGACGGCGGAGGAGATGGCGCTGGAGCTCCTGCTGCCACAGGAGCTTCAGCTTCAAGCTTTATCGTCACCGGTTCCGGTCTTTTCCTCTTGATAATCAGGAAGACCTCATAACTATCCTTGATCTTGGTAAATTTCGTACAGAAGTCTGTGAGGAGCTGTTCATGATCTTCCCGCATGCCTAGGAACCAAGGCTCCTTTTTATTTTTAACTGCAGTTGCAAATCGAAATGTATCTCCCTCCTCACGTGTGTAATCCTCAGGGTCGAGCTCTACTAGAAGCTCGTTTTCGATGAAATCGACGAAGCTACTAATAGTACCCGGCGTAAGGATTGGAGTAACTGTAGCTACTCATAACGAGACAAGTTAGTATATCTCTCTTAGCTGCGGGATCTCTCCATACTTAGCTTTTCAAGCCTATCTGGCTTTCCCGATGCTAAGCACCAATAGAGATAGCAGTGGACGATTAATGAGACTGTCGCTGGCGCTGTAGGGACTTGAAGTCGCCCTCGGCCGAGGCGGCCACCTCCGGAGCTTCTCCCACCAATAAATTGGCGCTGAATCGATCGCTGTTGGATCTGGCGCTGCCGGATCTCATTTGTCGTCCCCGATAAGGCCTGGAAGCGTGGTTCAGGGGTAATTAGGCTTCTCTCGTAAAGGGTCGCCCTAGCCGAAGAGGATAAATTCTGTATAGGAGTTCTCGTGCTATACGTAGGGGAAGTAATCTGGGCAGTGGAGACAGGAGGATAAGTAAAAACATCTTCCCCAGTATCGTGGGACTGAGTATCGCGGTAGTGCGCCATAAAAACACAAATAGGATGTTTTTCGAGGAAGAATATCAGGTACAAAAATAATGTGAACATAGGAGGGAGCCGAGTCAGCTTGGAACAGAACGAAATCCCCTAGTAAAATTAGTACTCAGTTAAAACTTTATGACGAACTGAGGCATGGATATCTTACCACAACGAATCCACGGATAGGCTTATTTAGCGTCGGCGCCTTCCCCTATTAGTTTCGTATGGTAATCCGGATAGAGCCGGAAGTATAGCGCCGTGATAACCTCGTGTTTTGGCGTTGAGACATATATACGTAAGAAAGTTTATATATCGAATTACCTCCGTCGATCCCCTTCTTCCTAGATACTAATTGGCTATCCTAAAATCCTAAGAGCGCTATGGCACTCGCTGATCGGCCTGTGTTTGGATATTGGGCCGAGATGCTGTATAGCGGCGCTGAAAATTAGCTTTCCTGTGCCTCTCCAGGCTCCCAATCCCACGCGCCGAGGGGTTTTGTAGTGAGGCGGAGCACTGGATACTCATCCAATTGGTCATGGAGAAGGGCACGGCGGCGGAGTTCGAGATATTCTGCACGGTAAGGATGACTAACTTCCACTGGCGCACGAGACGGGGGGTCCTCAGGATTGAAGTCATTCCCAGGCCCATAAAGCTCGGCTCCAATCTCCTGAAGCTGCTGGTGGCACCAAGCCAGGACGTCAAGGGGTAAATATTCATCTTTATCCCAGTCCCGGACGTCCTCCTGTAGCTCGCGAAGCAGCATAGGATCAACTGCACGCTGGTAATCGGGCTTAGATGCATTAAAATAATTCATAAAGGGCTTCCCGGTAACAGCGTTCGGCCGTGACTTTTGCTTTCGGATATTATGAATATTCCAGGTCTTAGCGTACTCGCTAATAACCCGGCGGAGTGTAGGCATATAGACCGCAAGAAGGGCGACTTGCTCAGGGATAGAGCCGGAGAAGAGACCTATAGAGGATTAGCGGCAGCAGCGGATAGTGGGCAGGATAACTTACCTTGTTCCTGGAGCTCCCGGAAATACTGGTAATAGAGGAAAGTACATGACTTAGATAACTGCGCCCACCAAGCCTCTATTCTCTGGTTATCTGTGCTTCGTCCTAGCCAGAAACAGTCTCCATGGGCAGCCTCTGGATCGAAAACCTGCCGCAGCGCCCATTGTGCATCCCCAATTAGGGATGTCTCCGAGCCGAGGTCAGACCGAATAATCTCCGGTTGGTAGCAGAGGTCGGCGATGGTGTCAAGAAACTGAGAGAGAACGCTCACTGCTGTACGAGAACTAATTCCCACGTATATCCAGAGAATATACCGAGAGTACCCATCAATAGCGGCATAAACCTCAACTCCGAACTGCGCTAGCTTCATATAACCATCCACATGCCACACGAAATTCGGCCCAGGGCACCAATACTCGCCGCGGGAGCGCTGGAGATCGTATGATCGGCGGAGGAGTGAGTCAGGGCGAAGGGAGCGGTAGACTTCGAATACTCGGTGCTGTGGGAAAAGAAAACCATGACGGCGAAGGTGGTGATAGAGAACGCGACGCCCATAACCTTCGGCATCGCCAATCCCAAGCTCCTCGGTCAAGATAACCTCGATTTCGAGCCGCTGCTGCTGCCTCTGAAGCGGGCAGTCTGTACGAAGCTGAATTCCAAGCTGTTTTCGTAACCTTTTAAGTGTAGGTTCAGAGACCTGGAATCCCTCCTTTTGTAGCACTTCGAGTGTCTCTTTAGGAGATAAACCGGCTTCGGTAACTAGCGTGAGAAGGCGAGCGTGCAAAGCTTCATTTTGGCTGGGTAGTTCGCGTCGCAGGCCCCAGGAAGAAAGGCGAGTTTTGAGCGTGCGAAGTGAGATATTGACGCCGTAGCTTTGTATGATGGTCTGGATATTGGCAATAGGTGTATTCTGAGAATATAAGAGAGTAATCTCCTCCCTATAAGACTCTAGGTTAATTGGAGGGCGTGGCATGGTAAAAATAGAGGTTATTCATACGAGCCCAAAATAGTAGGAATTATACTGTGTTAAAATCAATAGAAAGGATTGCCGGCTACCTGGTCATACGGTCTTATATACACACTACACTAGCGTAACTACTGAGTCGGAGATTTAGTAACGTAATCTACGGGCGAGTGAAACACCGCAAAATACCATA